TGAATTTTAACACCAGCCTTCAAATGTATGTGCAAAATCTGATCTGGTCCCTTTGCAAGGCAGAGATTTGCAGAGCCTGCTCCACCGCGTTGGGGCAGCGGGTAAGGTTGCTCGTCACACTTATCTCAGAGCTTGCAGTGCCAAGACACACACGGGGGAGTCAGGAGGACGATGCGAGACCCTGACCTCAGAATTTCCTCGCTTTGATGCAGCTGGAGCCAGGCCCTCCTGTAATGATAGTTCTGTGGCTCACTCTTAGCATTGTTCAGCCGGAGCAAAAACATTCGCAGGAACAACTCCCAGCTTTTTATTTCTTTTTAGTTGACTTTGTGACCTCTTAGAAGCACTTCAATTATTTAATCACGATGCCACCATATAGGGTGGCACTTTATGTTCTCATTAGGTTGCAGCATCCCAGGGCTTGCTGAAACCACGATCACACCAGATGGTGGCACGTCCTGTGCCGCAGCACGGCTGGGGCCAGCAACCCAAACTCTGCAGCAACCCAAATGAGCCAGGACTGTCTCACTGCTTGCTTTACACGGGATATTTTTCAGTGTCTCTCCAAAGGCTGCTCACAAGATCAAAACAGTTGCCTCTCTTGATCCTGTAGCTATGTTTTAGGGAAGCACACGAGGTGGCTGGGAGCGATTCCCTCCCAGTTTCCAGGCCCCGTATCTTGCCTTACACTGGTGGTTACACCACCTGCTGCAGAAGGGGTTGTGAGGCAGAATTAATTGAAGTTTAAGTCCCACAGAATGGTGCAATAAAAGCGCAAAGCGTATTTTCTATTTCTGGGGCTCCACGTGGTGAGACTGAGCAGTCCCAGGTCTTGTGGCAGGGCTTTGAAAAAACATTAATGGATTTTTTTTTTTTTAAACTACACCTTCTGTTGCACGTGGGACTGCTCTTTAGAGCCTGCCTAGTCCTGTTGAAGTCACAGAAAGATTTTTTTCTGGCTCTAACAGGATTTGATTCAGGTTCTTCTCAACCAACCGAGATGGAGGAGGAATGTTCTCCGAGGTGGAGCAGCCTTTTGGATCTGGCCACGACAGCGTGGTGCAGCAGCAACCCCTTTGGAAAAGGCTTGACAGACACAAGACCTTTCCAGGGGAATTTTTCCTGCTGCTGCCTCTGAGCCCTGTTAAGGCTCCCACGACATCACCAGGCTGGCCTGCAGTTCTGCTGGAAGGCAGCAGGGATAACACCGTCACCAGCCTCTGGACTGCAGCGAGAGAGGGGCACGTAAATGATTCATCAGCCCATCTCCCCAGCATGGTGGGAACTCCCAGTAGGAGGAGCAGGAACTTTTGAAATAGCTCCCTTGAAATCCTAGAAGAAGGAATTTATTTAAGGTGGCGATTTGGAGACCTCTGCAAGCGCATCAATCTGTAGATAGAGGGCTGAACCATAGGAGAGAGACAATAGGAGAAAAGAAATGTCTGCAGTACGTCTTAATTAATTTGACATCTATACGTGAAGTTAATCAGGTCTTCTATAGCACTGCCAGAACTTTTAGTGGTGGTTATTCAAAAGTATTTAAGTTTTTCCCCAGTGCCCTTCGATGTTGATGTAGGAGATGCCTGGGCCAAGCTCCTTCTGCAGTTGTCTGCTGAACCCAGAGCTGGTGCTGGCCTTGGGAAGGAACAGAGGCCAGCTAAGAACCATGAAAATAAGCTAATTTTAATTTTATTTTTGATGTATGTATAGGTTAAGGCAAAAACTGGCTAAAGTTTCTCATTTAAAAAAATTAATACAGGCTTTCTGCAACTCTCCTGTTCCCCCTAAATCAGCTTCATTTGGAGCTAAACCTTCCCATGTCTTTGCTCCCCCCAAGTCATTTTTATTCTAATGCTGCAATAAATATTAATGCCTTTCCCAGATGCAACCACTTAAAATATATATGTATATACACCGACCTACCAAATACTTGCTGTGAATGCCCAGTTGCAACTAAAATTTGACGGGAAAACCTCTGAAAGGAGAGAGAGAGACCTGGATCAACCGGAGGAGAAATTCCTGAGTGTGTATTTACATAAAACTGAATCTAAATGTGGGGTGGCAGGAGGGAAGAGTCTTAGCACAGAATGCCCAGCGAGGTCCAGAGAAGCTGCACGTCTAACACGGGCAGTACACAGACACTGCCTCAATGCTCCCACAACGGGAGCCCAGCACTGCCCAAAGTGCGAGGAGGAATTACTGATGCCCAGTTTGTGATATCTTCAACGCACACAATTCCCAGCAGCTCAGAAGCTCAGCAACCCCAGAAAGCCAGGCTCCTTTAGGTTGTCTCCGGTGGGTTTCTCCGAATTGCTCCTGCCCCAATCTCCCAGCCTACAGCCTCCAAAGCTCAGCGCGCTGCTCACGGTCGGTGAGGGCAGGGAATGCCCCGCTGCTTTTGGAGGCAGCCACCTCTTGCAGGAGCTTTGTTTTCTGTATATCTTTTAGCAGACACCCATTGGGATGAATCAGCACCGCTCTAATTACAGCCCAAGTTCATTTCCACGTACATCACTGATTCCTTTTAGCTGGGGGTCCAGACCCAAATATTCTGGGGGTGTTTGACAGAGAATAGAAATTGTGTTCCCTGCCACGCAGCGTTGCAGTCTGCTCACAGATATGTTTAAGCACATTTAGAATTGGTACCTGTGTGTGTCTGCCCTGCAGGGCTTTGTGCAGGGTGCTGCTGCGGGATCTCGGCTCGTCCCGAGGCTCCCCAGCTGACACAGCGACTTCGCTCCCCGCCACCTTCCTGTGCTCCGCGCTGCGCCGCTCTTCAGCTGCTGCCGAGCCTTTTCCTGACCTGGAGGAATAGCTATACAGCAATTAAAGACATTAAAAACAACCCAAACACCTCCCTGGTTCATTTCATCTTTTGTTTTTCCTTGCAAGTCACACCAAGCCAGGAATGTTGGGGGGTTTATTGGGGTTGTTTGCAGCACTCCAAACCAGTCCCTTCTCCTCTGGCTCACTGATTGCCAAGTACAAGTTCCCTGCCTTGGTCTGTTGTGCGCTTTGTAGGCTTTTCCCTGCCTCGCTAGATCACGGTAACAGAAGCAGTCAACGCATCTGCAAATATGTTTTGATATGTGTAAGAAGAGGGCAGGAGAACAAGGAGCGTTACCCTGAAACGCGGGGAGCCCTCTGAGCCCCCAAGGATGAGGAGCGACGGAGAGAAAAATACCAGCCTGCAGCACGCACACGCACGGCAAACGTGGTGTGGAGGTGTTCAAAGTGTCGGTGAGGGATTTAAGGAAAGAAATGCTCAACTCAACAGAAGGATGCGTGTTGTGGCAGGCATTTTATGTGACGTTACCGGGCTCGTTTTTGCGGGGTCAGCTGTAGGGAGGTTCTGGAGGGCTCTGGTTTGTTCAAGCAAGGTATAAATGGATCAGATCCTTCGCTACTCTTTGTAAGGCTGTACGGGGAGAAATGGCACGGTGTGAGCGATGCAAAGAAAGTAGCGATAACAAGAAGCGGATTTCTGCTTTATTGCCTCGCGTTGGGGCTGGTTGGGTTGGTGGTGGTGGCAAAGCCTGGGAAATATACATCTTTCTCCTTTAAAGTTCTAATTCAAGGCATGAATGTGTGAGTTCTGAAGGGACTTAGGGACTGCGGTAAAAAATCGTTGTCATAGTAACAGAAAGGGAAATAGGCCTGGCTCACCTGGGACTTTAACTTACTGCAAAAGCGGATTTTTTTTTATTTTTTTTTAAGGAAAGCACTCAGCAAGAGAAATAAATAAATAAAGTGTTCTTTGTATTCTAAACCGATTCTTCAACTATTAATTTTTTCTCATATCGGCGTCTTTTTCCTTCCAAACTTATTTAAAAATCTCTGATTTTTTTTTTTTTTAATTGTTGCAGCTAAACCCATTTTGTCCTCCAAATGGCAATGCATTAGCAGAAAGGAATCACAGAAAATAATCTCATGTAGGATAAAGGACACCAAAACATTTTTTTGCCTGCTCTGTCTGAATTCAGAAGACACGCGGGTTTTGTTTCTAATCCAACAACTGTGATTTTTCATGCAGGGCAGACTTCTTTACCTTTGCAATTCACAAATTTAATCAGGTGAATGAGACAATAAAGGGACGAATCCTCTCGTCCCTGGATGAAAAATTTGGTGGAACAGTTTATTGAAAACTGCCTGCCTAATATTTCTAAAGTGTAAAATCCATATGCTGTAACGCGTAGTGCTGGGTAAGCCCATCAAGCATCCTGAAGATTCAATTTCTGAACATGACAAGCTAAACTTGCCAGAATAATAATGTCTAAAGACAGATCCATGTGACAAGGCAAAAATAATCGGCACGAGAACTTTGTGCAATGTTAATGGGTTTATCTGCTTGGCCAGCGTGAGCTGTCACGGCTGACTTCGATTTGTGTTTCTGTTATCCTCTCTGAAAATCTAGGTAAGATTATAATCTGGGCTCCTGGCAGTTCTGCCTCTCTGCTTTAGTTACTGAAATCTTAATAGCTGAAAACATCGTCGTGATGAAATCTCATCAGCTTCTTCTGGGAGCTCTGGTTGTCTCTGTTTTTTAATACCTTCTAAGTAGTTTCAAGGCTTATCTGCCTCGGAGTTGCCCCGTTGGTTTTTGTGTTTTTTACAATAATGTTATCCAGTCTATATTGTTTCATGGAAAATCCATTCAGACAGCGAAAGAAAGACCTGGTATGCATGGAAGAGATAAAGAAAGAAACTCAAATTGTGTGTTCAAACATGCAGTGAAGGAACTGGCATAAATCGAGTAGATATGTTGATTTACATCAACTAATTGCCCATCTCAGTGTGGATTAGGCACGTCAGCTATAATTTACATGATTTTTATAAATTTGTCTTTTTTTTTGTTGTTGTCAATTTTTTTTTTGGTAAGTTCTCACAATCCTGGTCTCCTGATACACCAACATGTAAATCACCACGATGTGTACTTTAAGACAGAATACAACACGTTTTACTATGCTTAATAACAGTGACACGGTTCTTTATCGTTCCAGATTCTTCTTAAAATTTTTTCTCAAGTGCAATCAGAATTGTTTGAAAACAGCAGGAAACCCAAGAGATATGAGGCGGTTCCAGGTAAGGCTCAGCATTAAGCTGTCTGCTTTTTTTCTCTTTTTCTCCTTTCCTCTCTCCTACATTGTTCATAATAAATATGATGACAGTATATGATAAGCCATATCAGATATTGTTAAAGTTTTTCTCCATTTGTTGTGTTTAAACCTTTTTTCCCTCTTCTCTCTCTTTTCCCACTCTGAATCCCCAAGGGGAAGTGATGTACTGTACCAACCAGCAGTGGATATTTGATTTGACACCCTCGGGCAAAGCACTCGCACATACAGCTGCCCACAGCAGGGATCATGTTTGTGATACTTAGATGCCTCAGAATTTTTCAAAGTAGCTCTGTACGTGGTACACAAGCAGTCTCCTCATTTCCCTCCACTCCCTATCTCTTTCCATCTCTTTTGCCTTTTAACTCTTTCACGCCCTCCCTTTCAGCTTCTCTTTAAAAAAAAAAGCCACAGTAGTGATGGTCACTTTAAGATCTCACGCAGGAAAGCAACAAGACCCACGGGACAATGACCCAGCTGCTTTGCAGTAAAATCTGCCACTGGTTTCATCATAGCTGTCGCTGATGTATTGTGAATACCAGCTAATAAAAACACAGAAGGAGGTGAAGTGTGTCAGGTTAGAAGCAGCGGAGGAGAGGCAGACGCAGTCTCTCTTCTTCCATACCCTAATCCTTTAAGCAATTATGTTTAATAAATAAGTATTTTCCCTGTAACTTGGCCCTCACAAGAAGTGAAGTGCGATGCTCGAGGCTTCTAAGTCCTGGGTGCACAGCCAGGTCTTTGTGTGGTGTGAAAAGTGTCACAGGGGAGAATCCTGTAGAGAAGTGATGCCAGAACTGTTGGGTCATCCCAACATCCCAACATCCTTAGCTTTGGCGATTCATGTTTCATTACTCGGGTGCTTGCCTCAGTTTCCTCATTTACCAAAGAAGCAAAAACTCCAGAGGAGTTTACAGAAGTGCTTAAAGCTTTCCACAAAACAGGTTTCCAGAGACAATTGATTTTGTTCTATACTCTTACTAGAAATGAAAGATTCGCAAGAATCTTTTTTATGAAAAAAAAAATCTTGTAGGAGAAATCCAGTAAAATGAAAATGTGGAATAATGAAAACAAAAATCTACTCTGATCTCTGAAAGCTCCAAAAAATTTAGAGAAGTTTAGGAAAAAAAAAAAAAAGTAAAGATTTTTTCAATTTATTTATTTATTTATTTTTACACCAGTGGTTTAAAGAGACCATAGTTACTTTTTCATTCTGTTTTTTGGAGGTGGTAAGACATCTGAAGAGAAGAGGTGGCCATTGTTAGTGAATTTGTCCTGGTTTTTATTTCACATGGCAATTTCCATAAAGAAAAAAACACCAATTAGACATCATCTGTCAAAAATGTGCATAAGGAAGGGTTGGTTTGGTTTTGCTCTTCATAAACCAAACCAGCAGCTTAGCACACCCTTGGAGCTGCAGTGTGAGATTGAAGTTGAAACCTCAGAATGAATCAAGGTTAGGCAAAGCCTAGGTTTACCTTACTCTTTGTCAAAAGCAAAAATGTTGACTTCATTACAGAGTTACAAAAATGAACCTTTGAAACAAATGGTAAAATGCTTGAGGTGGTGTGTAAAAGCAGGATCTTTGTTCAGGCTTGTTCAGAACTGGATTCATCAGTTGACGAGCTTGGTTGTGGGCTACAGAGGTCAGAGCGTATAAAAAAAGATACAAAAAAGTAGTTCCATTGCTGCAATCATATGCATTGGGAGTAAAACAGCCGTGTGTTCCAGTGGAAATCAGCCAGGATGACCAGTAAGGACGATAAGCAAAGATGTTGTTTTCTGTCTGCCCGGTTGTTTCTAAGGATAGAAGCACGACTTCCTTGAACGCAATGTAAGAAAGAGCATTCTTGGATGCTCCACTCTCTCTGTCTTCTGGATCCTCCTTTTTTTTCCTTTTATTTATTTATTTATTTATTTTTAAATTTGAATGAATGTTTTTTTGTTTGCGTCTTGTTGAGTGCGGTCTGTCAGCTACCCTTAAAGTCGTAAGTGGAAAAAAAGCGACATCTCTCCAACCAGTAGTAGTGTGCTTGCACGCTGTGAACGTCTTCGTTTTCACTGAAGCTGTTAGGAGTTACATCAGGCAGGGCAATTAGTGTGTGGGATTGCTTATTGGGTTTGAAGGCACAGTTCTTCATCCCACCAGTACAAGAACACCTAAGTAGAGTAAAAGCAGGGTAAAAAAGCACAAAAAGCTACTTGACTTGTGATTGAATTCATTATGCTTTATTTTTTGGCCATATCTAAAACATTTGTTGGTTTTTCCTGATAAATTCTTTGTACAGCTGTTGTTATTAAGACCCTCTTCTTCCCAACATTTCCATACACTCAACTTCCCTTACCCAGACTTCTGCAGTGATGCTCAGTTGAGTTTCTTTTAATTTGTACCCGTGTTATTCTAGGGAATCAAATCTCTTCATTTTCAGTGGGATAGAACTTGTCAGATCTCCAGAAGACATTAAGATACTTTTTTATGGTTATAAAGAAAACAGAAGAGCGAAACCCTGTCTCAGGGTTCTCATCACTGAAATTGCTACTGAAATCTAGAGCTGAAAGGGTCTCATCCAAATGTTCTTTAATGGAAATTGAACGAAAGCCCAAAACTCAGGCTTGGTTGTTGAGACACAAATGTAAATAAGAGGCATGGAAATTGTGCCGTACAATGCCTCTGAGTGAGCTCTTCAAGCGTGGAAGAGTGGTTACTCATGTCTGGAAAAGCATCAAGTTAATGCTTCTGATTAGAGATGGGTGTGAATGTACAGCTTGGGCTTGGTTTGGCTGATAACCAACGCTCCGGGGAGCTGGGATCCAGCCTCCGAGCCTGGCCTCACGCTCAGTGCCTGGAGATCGAAGATTTAGCTCTTGTACAGTACAGTTACAGTACAACAAACTCAATTAAATGTTAGATTTTCACTTACATCACACCCATTTAAAAAAAAATGAAGGGGGAGAAAAAGGGGTGGAAAGGTTACATTAACGCTGCATTGTAAATTTAATACAGCTCCAGATGCCAGAAGAGGTTTTTTTTTTTAGAATAATTCTTTAGTTTGGAGAGCAACGCCAGCTGCTTTGTGATCACGTTAACTATTTGAAATTTGCTTTGATACGAGGTAGAGCTGCAGAGATAAAAAGAAAATCCCTTAACTTTTACAGATTTTTAAAATGTTTCTTATGATGTTTTTCTACTGTTGAGAAGTGTTATACCTCAGAAGGTAAAGGATATGTGATCATTATTTTAAATGTTTTTCTCTACAGTAATAACATAATTTATTGTGAATCTCAGGCTACTTCAGTGTCTCTCAGTGGCTAGAGCAAGGGCAGGAAATCTGTCTAGAACTAGTGGATATCTTCATGGTTACTTGTGGCTGCCCAAGTACGTGTACAGATCAAGTAATATGTCCTTGGGAATTTAACTGGAGCAAATATCGATCAGCTATCAGCCGAAAAATCCCTGAATAAAAAGGAACAATTATTAGTGGAAAAATGAAACAAAAAAAAAAGCATGTTTGAGTCACCTAGGACGCAAACCACAGCGCTATGTGAGCTCAGCTCATCTGCAAACCTGAGTTTCCATAGGTATTGTTGTTACTGTCACTGCTGTATGCGCACTGAGTGATCTCCCAGGAACAGAATAAAAAAAAAACCGTGATGCCCTCCACTTAATGAGGACTTCTCTAGAGAACTTGATTGAAGCCCAATGATACTTAATGGTAATGACCGGTGTGTAATGGGGGACAATAATTCTGTGGAATTAAGATGAGGCACTCCAGCAAAAATGCTTCAGCTGAGACCTGGTGCTAACGCATTAGCCTCCTGTTGATTGGGAATTCTGCTTTATCCAGTAACACACTGATTAAACAGATCCTACAGTGCCATGTTTGAGGGAAGGGTACCAGGCACGAGAACATCAATACATCCTTGAAGCAGCGGGATTCTTCAGAGAAGAGAAAGGTCGGCAATTGTCCTCTGTTTTCAGCAGACAGCATGACACGGAATATTTCCTGGCAGGTATCCCCCTCTAGGTGCTCTAGGGAGAAAGAGAAAGGAAAAATAACAAGGTGTGTCCCTGGGGAGATTTCCTTCCTGACCTCGGAGTGGTTGGATCAGTTCTTCAGCAGGCGCGTGAGCCAGGCTGGCTGTGGTGGGGAGCTCCCCCAGCGAGGCTCTGACATGAAGCACTGAAGGATCGGTGTTGTTCGGGAAAACCGGGTAAGGATGGTGGGCTGTGACTCAGGGATGTCGTGGTCTGTAAAGAAACAAAAAGGGAGGGCAGCAGCAAAAGAGAACTGGTCAAAATCAAATCACTTACAGCCTGATGGTAAAAGGATGTGTTAGAGACCTCCCAGTCAGATTTGGATGTGGACAGAGATCTCTGAACTGCTGTTAGGGAGATGAATACTGCAGGGAGTAATGTCATTACTCACTAATTCCCCAGTTACAGATTGCAAATGAAGAGCAACTGGTATCCAGCTATTGCTGTGTGACAGATCTCTTAGTCAGAAAGTGACAAAAGGTGGTGTTATTTTAGATTCTCTATACATGGGAGGGATTGACTGAAACTGCAAAAATGAAACAACAACAACAACAAAAAAACAACACTCAATGAGCTTAATGTGCTCCGACCTGAAGCCCAAATAGGACATTGTCACAGTGAGTTGCCAAGTCGTATATTGTCCAGTAAAACAAACCATAAATGAGATTCTGCCGTGTCTCAGGTAAGCTCTGCCAGTAGAAAGGAGGCATTTGTACCACTGTACCCCCTGAGCTTGTTTGGGATACGAGGTACTGGGTTACCCGTCTTCAAACAGGATGAAACTGAAATTGGAACAGGTGCAGAAAAGGATCAGGTAAGGTAGCTGGGGGGTGGGCAAGGTGGTCACACACCTTAGCACCATGCACTGAGCCTAGACATAACTGCTCTCTAAAGATATCAGAAGGTAGATAATAATAATAATAATAATAATAATAATAATAATGTAATTAATTAATATTTAATGATAATTTTGAAGACAGTGTTAAGTATAAAGCGACTACAAATTTAGGCTGTAAGCCGTAAAGTCCCTGATGATCAAGACACGTAGGCTTCAAAACAGGAGTACCAAAGGCAGACGCTTGAGCTGGTTTAAGACAATTTAAGAAAAGCAGCCACATGGTTTAGCTGTCTGTAATAGCAGGAGATGGATGTCAGTGACCCAGGAGTTATCTCCTACCCCTGTGCCCCCATGCCCGAAATGAAGGCCACGTGCATCGCTTCCCTGGTAGCCCCTAGTTTGCGACAGGCCGGGGTATCAGGGAAGATTTCCCAATGAATTTGGTGTAAGGTTTGAGCAGAGAGAAGCCGCTGGCATTTTTCACATTGTTTATCTTATTCCTAATCCAACTCTGAAGCAAACAAGTATCGCAGCATCTACTCCTGTATTACTCGCTCAACCAAAACGCCTCTTGACATCAATGGGAGCCCCGTCCAAGTGCAGACAGCAGGATGAGGCCTGACATCTTTTCTTCCACCCAGCTGGAAAATAATAATAATGATAATAATTTTTAAAATCCTCGTAGTAGTTATTCTTTTGAAAAGTTAAAATAACACGGCGCTGGGACTAGAGAGTTATAAGGGAAAGTGCATCAGGAATGTAATATTGTTTCCAGATGTACAATGTCATAAAGAATTTTTTCCACACTTGGAATGGCAACAGGAATTTTTGGGGAGAGATCATTTACACAGTGATGAGATATGTTACATGTAAGTAAACGCCTGTATGCCTGGAATGTTTGTGCCATATGTCTGAAGAGGTGTCTCTGAGCGATGCAGCTTTTGTGTGTACGGGGATGTGTGTTCACTCGCATGTATGGGATCTGAAGTGGAACACGCCTTACAAATAGAATGTATAGACAGGGGAGGAGAGATTGCAGTGCCTCCATCTAAGCATTTTGAAGCACTTCATGGTACTTTAACAATTTTTAGTGAAATACCTCGTGTAGGTACAGCACTTGCCTTCCCCACTACCCGCTCTTCTCTAACATGGGCTGGCTGCTGCAGGAGTTGAGGATTTCAGCCTTCAAGCTGCTAATGTGAACTCTTGGGACTGATGGGGCTGGCAGTACTGCTGAGTCAGAGAGGTGATCTTTAAGGTACCTGGCTACAGGTTTGTAAAGGAATAAGTCTGTGGCTTCATAGCCAATAATGATTATTATTTTTTTTCCCCCCTAAAATAAGGAAAATTCAGGGAATCCTGCTGAAAGCCCTGCTCAGAAGCTTGCCACTCCCGTGCTGTTCCCATAGTTGGCACCCCATTGGGCTGGCTGGCTCATGGCCACGTCTGGTCTTCTTGGCTCTTCTTGGTTGGTTGTCCTCTGAAACTCCACCAGGGTGACAAGTTGATCAGCTGCTTGGGGCACAAAATCTTTCTCATTTGTGCTGTCTACGGCAAATTTGACTCAAAGCTACGACTACCAGAATCCATCGCCTGATGTATTTTGATTTTCTCATCATTCCTTTAGTAGTACATTTTGCAGTAACTGAAAAACCATAAACTGAATAGGCAGAGAAGCCAAATTGCCATACAGTAGAAGTAGTGCCATCAGATCAGGAACCAAACCAACAAAGAAAAACATTTGCCAGTAATTCGCCAGTGCTGTAGACAAATCTGAGAATTTAAACCCCCAGAGAAGTGTACGCATCACCTTTCACCAGCACTGCATACAGGAATACAGGTTAAGAAAAAAAAAGACCTGGGATGTTTTATGATGCTGGGAGAACAAGTGTTATTGATAAGTTCGTGTTCAGAAGGGTATTGGTGAAAATGCATAGAAATGGTTAACAAGGTAATGGTAAGAAACGTTGACCTTGATTTGTTTAGCTAAGATGTAAAGATTTTTGAAGGTCAAAGGTGTTCTTGTGTAGTGTTTTGGAGTCTAACTGTGTCTGACCCTCTAACATTAAGCTGCTGTGGCCTGCAGTTTTGAAGAGTGAAGCAAACCAGGGGGAAAGAGAGAAGGGGGAGAGAACAGGAAATGGAGTGAGGTGTTTCAGGAAGTTGTCAGGAGTTGACTGATTGATTCCAGATGGAAAGGGTCACCCGTCGTGACCCAGGAAATACTCACTGGGGGAAAGCAGTTGGCTTGTGAAAGGGAAGGGCCTGGGAGTTAGAGACCATAGTGGAATGCACATTCCTCTTCCTTTTATCCATAAAACATTGGTTTTTAATCTTCGGTATAAAACAATTGGATTGCCATCTCCATCAGGCAGAGGGAAAGACTGGACCAAACTGGGGAAGTCCAGCACTTTTATGTCCATCGTCTTCTTACCTTCCAGCAATGAGTTGCCTTGCAGTGTCATAGTAAGGATGACAAAGCTGTGTGCTGCATTTCCATGGTACCTTGGAGATGCCTGCAAATAAGGTCCAACATTTGAGAAAGTTCTGGACCAGATCTGAACCTTGCATTTCGTCCCATCCCCGATACCACTGTATTTATTTACCCTGGGTCCTGGCCTGTGAAATGCCAACTGGCTTTGACCCTCCTGTGATGAATGGAAGAGGTGAATACAACTGGAGCTGCTCTTGGAGAGAGGTCTGAATGTGCTTCTTCTGCTCCTGCTGGCTCAGGGAACAGAGGATGCTCCACACTTACCTCCTCCTCCACAGAGGACAATTTCTCGTGCTGCAGGAACCTCTGCAACCAAAGTGTGGCTCTTGATTTGTGCCCAACTTTTACACCCAAGTGGTTATCAAACAGGCAATGTGTGTATACTTGTAGTCTGCATATATTACAAAAATCTCATACCGAGAGCATGTGTGTGTGTTTATCACATACATACCTTGTGTATGTGAGGTCAGATATGTATATATTATATAATGTAACTGTATATATATGATATACTTTTGATTTACATTTGGTTACAATTTAAACACTTGTCGTAAATATTTCAGACACTGGAATAATTCAGGTCTATTCCCCTGTTGCCATAGTGTGCTCTGTGCTGGCCAGTGAGAGATTAAAATTTATTTCCATTGTTTAACGGAAAATAATGAAGTGCATCTGAGTGGGTTCAGCTATGTCATGCGGGAAATGTTCACTTTGGATAGGAGTCTCACTCCACCCAAATGTGCAATGATGAAATCAGTTGGCACACAAAAGCAACACATTTTGTGACAAGAATGCTTGAGAAATATAAGAGTACGGTATGACAAGAGCCTTTTGGAATGAATTAAACTTGTCTCAAGAAAGAAAGTATTCTTTAAACCAGCACAGTCCTGTAGGAAGGCCAGGTTTCTCCTGCTTTATGACAAGTAGAGTTTTACCAACAATTAGAGCTTGCCATTCTCCTACCCAGACCATGACAGCTGTATCTGTGAAAATTCATGAACACAACCAGGGGCAGGTTCTCAGTAGCTGTGAAGGGCCGTGGCTGTGGGGCAGCTGAAGGGCTTTAAGCTGATTTACCCCAGCTGATGGCCCCAACCTGAAAGTTTCCAGAAGATGCATCTTCTTGCAGTAGGTAAATTCTGCAGCTGATGTTTTTTTTTTTTATCCATAAAGTTTGTGGTTTGAAGGTAATTATATTTCTGGTTTTATAGGAAACAGAGCTTTGGGTATTGTGTTTTAAAGGGAGAACTAAATGGCCTTCATTAACATCTATGGTTACATCCTCTATGAATTCAGGTGCCATTGGAGCCCAGCAGCAGAATTCAGGGAGGCTGAGGTTTTCGAAACTGGTGCTTGGTTCTGGCTGCTCAGGCTCAGGTGTTCCTTGAGAGGCACTGAGCTTGCATATGTAAAAAACCAGACATGATATTAGGTACCTTTTTCACGTAGTGGGAATTTCTATTTTGCTCGGTCAGTGGAGACCTGTGTTTTCGGAGCAGCTGCGGGTGCATTTGCATGTGTGTGCTGTACGGCAGATGGCTCTGAGTCTGCATGGCTGTATCAGAGGGCAAATTGCTGTGGTGCTCTGCAGCCTGCCCTCCTGGTTGGTATGTGCAGACCTCTTTGCCATCAGCTATGCTACAGCGCATCATAGGGAACACAATTTAGGGCCATCTGCAGGAGCTGGTTCATTATACATTAAGGACTTTATATGGCCCTTAGGATGCTATGTTAAATGGAATTAATGCACGGAGTGGAGGCTGAAAATATTTTCTCCCATCCTTGCTAGGGAGTAAACCCTGTAGGACATGATTACATTTTACAAACAGAACAGGATTTTAAGTAAACTGAATAATTAATACTTTACAAGCTGAATATCCAAGTAAGTTGTTTACCTGCCTCCCTTTTCTCCTTTTGCAAATGTCTAGGTTGTGCTATCAACAACAGTGAACGTAGACGGGCACGTACTGGCGGTGTCTGACAACATGTTCGTTCACAACAACTCCAAGCACGGACGGAGAGCGAGGAGACTTGACCCCTCCGAAGGTAGGATATTGTAGGAAGAACAGCACGCAAATGAGTGCAAAAGCATATTACCCATTCTTCGGTTTCTGTTTGTTTTCAGGAGGGAAGGGGAGCTAAGGGGGAACTACAGAACCTCAGGGGGTTTAGGGAAGGAAAAGGCAGGAAAACAGTGTCTACAGCATGCAAAATATGATCCTCTTCACATCTAAGAGACTGGCTTCCCTCCCCCTCCTCCCAATTCATTAATTAGTTTGTCCAGCAGAGATGAAAAACATAGAAAGACTAAGTATTATCTAAAATTCAGACTTCTTTTTCAGCTGGGATAGATTTGATTTCAGGCAAATTAGGCAACATGACATCTTAGTTAAACAGAACTGTTACAGCACAAGATGTGTATGAAAAAGTGTCACTAGTTCCCTTAAACAAACTATGTGCAAAGCATAACAATGCACAGAAGGAAATTGACACTAATTGATTTTAGTTTGTTTGGCTAAGCAAGACTCATGGCCGTCTGCAGGATGGTTTTTGGACTATATTAAAGTAATTACGACTACTTGTATCTGTTAAGTTTCAAAATGGTTGGCCCCTCCTCTCCCTCTTCTCATGCATTCATTACCAATGCATTCCACCTCTCTTGTGCAGGCAGTACTCAAAATTACCAGAAAATGCTATCTGTGTCTACTTCTCCCTCCCCTGCAGCTAGTGAAAGTGAGAAGAGCTGGTGATGTTAGTAGAAAAGACAAGCGAGGATATTATTTCATTATAATGTTTTGCTGTCCCACTTCTTAAATGTGCCCTATATCAACCTATAAGAAGAATTAATGAACTGGAAGAAAATGATTGAATCAGTAAAGAATTCAGAGTGGTGTTAATTCTCCCCCAGCGGGCAGTGAAATGGTAGAAGGAAAATCCCAGGATTCCTAGCCTAGGAAGCCATCCAGTTTTTCCTTGACTGATTGGATGTGATTGACTGGCTGTTCAAAGGAGTCTCATGTTTTTGGAGCCCTGCCAAAGTTCCCCTCCACCTCTGACCCTGTCAACATTGGGAATGGAGTGATGGATTGACTTTGGTTATGGCCTGGAAACCATATTGGGTTCCTGATGGGATGTATAGTCCAGAGGCCTTGAACATATGGAAGAGAGAAGAAAAAAAAAATCCGCTCTATAAAATCAAGAAAATTATTAGAAATCGTATTCTGACACGAATTGGAGGAAACGTTTGATATTTCCATATCTCTCTTACCCATTGATAAACTTCATAAATCTTAATCTACCTCCCTTTGCACAGGCTTTAGCTGTTGTGTGATCGTATGCTAATGAGTGTTTTTTTAAAACAGCCTCTGCACAACCATTTAAGCGTTTCATTTTTACACCCACTACAGTTGGCCTATTAGGCTTTAATGACACAATGTTAAGTGCCAGTAATGAATAGGCAAGTAATTAACACTAGCAAGGCAGAAAACACGTTATTTATTTATTTATTTATATATTTGTTGGGCTTCCTGGAACAGTAAAGCAGCCTTCATGGGTGAATGGCTGGAGGGGACTTGTCCCAGGCCTTTGGCAGCGCTGGGGAATTCCTGCCAACCGTGACGCTGCAGTGGTGCAGAAACTCCCAGGAGTGGACAGGTGAAGTTTTGTCTCAGTACGACTTCGGACTGCTTAATGCACTCAGAAGTTGGGTGCACGCATCAGCTGCAGGGGTTTACAAACAGTTTTGTGAACAATCTCACTGTTGTGCACAAATACAAACCACCCTGATCGGATGCTCTGTTGGGCTTTGCTTTTGTTTAGCCACACCGTGCATCAAAGCAATCAGCCCGAGTGAAGGCTGGACAACAGGAGGAGCAATGGTGATCATCATTGGAGACAACTTCTTTGATGGGCTGCAAGTAGTATTTGGAACCATGCTCGTCTGGAGTGAGGTAGGTAGAGGCACCTCCCTGCTGCGAAGCTCACACACTCAACACTGCTGTTATTTGGAAGGTGGAGGGGAGCGGTGTTATTTCCCATTCCAACAACGCTACCGAAATGGTGGCGTGTAAGATGGGCTGGATAAACCTCTGTGAAGGGAATTCATGGGACACGGTTGCTCTGTGGAACTCCTTGCTAGGTGACGTTACTGAGGCCAACTGCCCAGTAAGATCCACAATGTGATTGATTCAGGGGTCTGGAGGCAGGTGAAGGTATAGAAATAAAGCAAGAGGGTGTGAACATAGAAAGAGTTTGGGAAGGAAAAAGAATTCCATCTAGGTCCAGCAAGAAGCCAGCAATTAAGCAATAAGTAATACAATTTTCCTTGATGACAATTTATCCAAAAAAGTGTCTTCCTCTCCTGGAAGCAAGAAACTAGACCAAATGTATCACCTGCCAGATCTATAGCATCTCCTATGCAGCAATGCTTTTACTCATAAAGTATGTTTGCAGGGTGTAAATGCAAGTGGGGGGTGTAACACAGACATACCATAATTGCATCTCTCCTTTTGTTATTTCCCAGCTTATCACACCTCATGCCATCCGAGTTCAGACACCTCCACGTCACATTCCCGGAGTGGTTGAAGTGACATTATCATACAAATCCAAACAGTTTTGCAAAGGCGCCCCAGGCAGGTTTATTTACACAGGTAGGTGACTGTGATTTACACTGGAGGAGCTTGAGCTCTGAGCCTCTTTGTGTTGGTAAACAGTATTGACAACTCCGTGCTTTGTTTGCTTGCTTGCTTTGCCTCTTCCTGTTTGAAGGCCACTCTGCTAGTTGTGGCATTTGGATACATAAGGAGATAGCTTCATTGCTGTGCAGAGGTGTTAAGGGACTGTTACTACACATGTTAATATTTTTTCCAGATTAGAGCTCATGCTGTTATGATATGGCTCTGTCTGTAGATATATTGAATGTACAGTAACGTGATAGCATTGTTCTATATATCCAAAGATGTTTTATTTATAACAGTATTTATTTTACATTTCTCTCTCGCTGGGGGTAACCTTTCATTTTCGAGATAATCCCAGAGGACGAGGAGAGTGTCTTGTATCGAGAGAAGCCAATGAGCCGAGTGGAAAATAAATACAATTGTTTTTTTATTTTTTTTTTAATTCTTAAATGGATTATAAACTTGTTTAGTGTCCTACATTCACCTCTGCTAGCAGGAGAATACTAATGTTATGGAGAGAGCAGTCTATATATCTGAAAGGAAGAATCAGATGGGACCAGATGACCATCCCTCACTGAACTGTCAGTACCAGTAGTATCAGCGATGGCATACCATGTGTGCACCAAAACTTCTGTAGCCTGTTAAGCATGGATGGCGAATAATGGTGCACAGGGTTGTCAAGGGTGGATCTGTATTTATACTGAATGACTTGCTCCCATCAAATCATATTCAGCTTTCTCAAAATGCAAGGATTGATTTTCTTTTTAAAAGCCTCTTATTGCCAACAATCTTCATTAAGTAATTGTGTACTGTATTTGAAAAAAATGTAAAACCTAAATTAAAAATAATAACGAGGGTCCAAGAAACATTTTATTTAAAAAAAGAATAAGGCAAAAACTTAACCACGTGTTGAGCGAACTAGTTAGAATTTTTCTAAAACTAGAAAAATTTGAATGGAAATCTGACATTTTAGTAAGCTTTAGCAAGAACCAGTGATTTTTGAAGATCCTCTAACCACCATATGCTATTTTATATATACTTTTAAAGTACAAATGCTAAATTACTGTTTACCTACATATGTGGGAAGGCATTGATTCATGATTGTCATAATACCTAGGAACCTGCAGCAAGAATTAAGACTTCCATTACACTAGGTACTCTAAAGAAATATAAGCTGAACTACAAAGGATTATGTTTGTTATGATAGTGGTGTGATCCACAGTTAGTTGAGGACATTAAAATGATATCCATTGACTGAAACTGAATCAACCTCATGAAGATTAGGACTTTGTTCTGATCTTGCACCAAAATTTGTTCTGGAATTATGCCTGGACCTGTGAGTTCAGGATCTGGCCAAAAGCTTTTAAAAGACATTTTCTTCTAAGGCAGTGCATTCATTCATCAGTCTCTGGGAAAAGCTGAACCTGATGCCTGAGCAGTTTAAGCCTTTCCCTGAGCAATAACTTGCCAAAGCCACAAAAGAGGTTAAAATTCCAAATCTGCATGAAAACACAATTGTTCCTCTGAAGAGAGGGAGCAGATCAGCTTGGTGGAGTCCAGCAGTACTTAAGCAAGGGAGCACTGTCATTGATTTGTGTGCAGTGAAGTAGGGGTTGCGTTAGTTGTGATGCTTTTACCTTCAGAGGGACAGAGAGACTTAATTCTTGAGTTATTATTACACATTGAAACTGGAAAGCTCTCCTATGCCATTTTTTGCTTGCTGAGGCCTTGATCTTCCAGTTCTTCTCTGCAAGCATCACTCTGAAAGCTGCTGGTATGAGAACTGAAAGAGCTTTAGGGATGGAGCGATGCAGAGATGTGTAAAATAGGAACGTGCCTGTGAAGGAAAAAGTCTTTTCGTTATGGTGAAGCCATTTTAAGTGCAAGACTTACTTGTACCATCTAGGGGGGACTGGAGTCAGACTGTAGCAGTTCTTTGACATATTAATTAGTGTGCTGCCACAAAAAGGGACATGAAGATGTATGTAGGAGCTGGCGGAAGAGAAGAAAGTTAAATATACTATCCCTGTTTTACTGCTGTTACTGGCATAGGGATATCTGTTAGCATTCTCTGAGGAGTGAGTGGGTGCTCACTGCCATATGTTACAAAACAGCATTTCGCAGAAGATGCCGAGCTGTTTGGGCGAGGGTAGAAGAGACAACGTTTCAATCTGTCTGTTCAGGAACCTGCAGCTCTCCCACCATGGCAGGCAAAATGATAAACACAGCTATTAGGTAGAGGCTCACCTGTGTAATCAATTCCCCCAGGTTGTTGCTGCTAATAGCAGTAAAAACAACTTCTAAGCTATGAAAATAACATGGTGGCTTTTTTTTTTCTTTCCATGATTGTGCTATCAGAAAACTGCTGTGATCCTGCTGTGAGCAAACACACTGACTTTTAACCTAGGCAAGAGATATTCATGCAGTCAAGGTCCTTCTGCTTGTAAGTCTTCTTCAGACCCTTCCTGACAACTTCTGAACCTCTTCAGCAGTTTCTGCCAGGCTTTATCAGATAGGTAGAAGCACCACAGATGCGCAGTCCAAGCACACTTTTTGAAAATGGAAAATCGTAAGAGAGATCTGAATTAATCCTTCGTGGATGGAAAGGCTGCAGAGCTCAATCATTATTAGTCAAGAGTGAAGCTACCAGAAAACAGCCTCAGGAAGCCAGGTTATTTAAATGCCACCGAATGCACGAATATCCATAGCACTCTGGAAAATAGCCTCACATCACAGAAGTGCAGGTATTTGTTGGAAAAAGTGTGGCAGGCAAATCTATAAAACACTGAATAGGAGAGTTCAATAGATTTTATAGTCATTGGTGAGGTAGTCCGGTGCATCTTAATGAAAATGTATTTTTTGTGATAATTGAAGCTTATTATTTTCTTGATACTTTTAGCTCTTTATATTGCAATATATTCCTCCTAGCTGTCCCAAAGTCTATATCTGACAAAATATCAAAGAATGGGGCAGCTTGGAGAGACAAATAAGACCACTTCTGTCTTGAACTGTCCTTGTCTCTAAAACCAGGAATTTCTCCCCTCAGTACATCCCCTTTACGTTCAGCCTACACTTGACAAAAAAAAATAAAACGCAGAGACATTAACATTGAGCCCAGGAGACTGAGGAGTGTGAAATCCTGCAAAGTGAAAGCCTGGGCAGACGTAGTTCTGTCAGAATTAATAACAGCAGCAACAACTAGCAGCCCCAGCACTATCAGGGTCATGTTGTATTAAGTCCTTAATAATTATTAAGTGCTGAGATAACCTCAGATGAAAAGCACGAAGGGTCAAGTCACATGGAAAGCACTGAACAGCTGGCTATAGGCACGTCGCAGGTATAACTGTAATAATTATTCATATAAAACCAGACCTCAGAAGGTTCACCAGGGTCTGACTACATCAGCCATGGGCAGTTACAGAAGGCCACGTGCTTCCATTTTATGCGAGGCACTGTCACAGGAAACTGAAGAAGGGCTGACCACTTGCCTGTGGTTGTGCAGGAAAGCTGAAGAGAGCCAGGGCAACAGAAGTCCCAGGTCCAAGTCATATCCTGTAATCACCAGACCACCAAAACTTTTTGAAAAGATGGAAACAAAAGCAATCATTTTAGTATTGTGCAGCGCGTATCTGCCTCTGCCCTCAATATTTAATATACAATCAAATATTAATGTTTGACCTGATTATACTTGAGCTTTTTTTTTTTTTAAAGGAGTAACGAACAGACAGGTTGTTTGAAGAAGAAAGTGATAAACTGTTAGAAAGATGAGTACAGAAATTAGATATAAATTTCAAGGGTAAATCTAAACGCCACAGCGGAGCTGTTACAGGAGCTCATATGCGTCCTGTAATGTGCATTTATAATGGGCTCCTAGCACAGTGTGCTGTGCTGGCAGTGCTGCAGTTATGGTTCTGTCAGCATTTCCACTCTTAAGTGCTATCATTCAGGGTGCTGCAACTCAGCCATCAAATTCCTCTCATCACCCAAATGTGATGCGTGGACTTTTCCATACGGTTCCCAGATGGGAAACTCTTCTACGAGTGAAACCAACAGGATGCTGTGGGCTTGTAACAGTGCAGCAAAAACCTGGTGAAACGGCTTGCTACAAGCTAACAGCAACTGCTGAACCAACTTACATCAGTAGTAAGTGTGTACTTAAAATGAGGGAGATAAAAAGTCTGGTTTTACATCACCACAGCTAAGCATCATCTCCTGGTGAGCCTTAAACAGGTAACGCCTACGCCTCCCTATTCGGAGTTACTTTTCTATCATCAGCTGTTCGTAGAGTAATAAGGCATTTGTTCTCTGTGCTAATCTCGCAGTAGCCTCATATTCTGCTTTTAATACCGTACAAATTCAAAGTCTCTGCTGCTGTAAGCAGTTCCATTATAGTTCCATTGACTTTAATAACGCTTACCTCAGTTTACGCCAGCTGAAGCTACGTCTCGTAGGCTTTCATATCTTAAGTTTGATCGCAGCTCTGCATTTGGTTTGTCATAGAGATGCTAACCTGGAAATGTGTATATCAGAGAGATTTTGAACATAATTTTCCTTGCTGAGCAAAAATCCTCCAGGGGTTAACTTGTCAGAGCAATGCAATATAAAGTAATCTGCAGGATCTGTTGGACTCCCAGGTTGTGGTGTATCACTCTCTATGCCAGGCACCAAGGATAGGAGGTACTGTTTTGCTAAAGCTTGTAAGTAGATTTGAGAAGGTCTTGTTATCTGCTTGTGGGAAATGGTGCTTACAAGGATACAGTGAGCTCTGGAAATTGCAGGTGAGCTCACTTGGCCAGAACACAACTGATGTGAGCTGAAAGCCCTTGCAGAGAACAGCTCCTACACCGCTTTAGCCTATTAAAGACGCACGCGATAGGAAACACTGCATAGGGACCGGGGTATTTGGAACAGCTGTTACTGAAACAGCAAATTTAACACAAGTCACTGCCTGGTAGCATCCCTCCAACTCTACATCTCTACATCATGAAGTACTCCTCCGAGCAGGCTGACCAGAACGTGTGTACTTCCAGGCACCCAGGATTAGCAGGAGAGCTTCTGTAGCCAGCAAGGTGGCAATGTTTTATTGTGTAGGGTGAACACCAAGCATCTCTTCACTGGTGGTTTGAGGATAATCCCCAGTGCACAGCTGAAATTCAGGCGGTTCAGTCCAGGGGTGCCTTGTTTTCTCTGTGCTAACAGCTCTAAGGTTAGGCACAATACTCAACTACTGCATGTGCGCTCTGGGTTCCAGCTATACCTAGAGGTATGCATTTGGTGTTTCTCTCATTCATACTTTGCAAACAGTGGCCTTGTTGGCTTTTGTTCTACTTCGTAAAGCAAAGATGCACAACTTTGCTAAGGTCTTTGAATGAGGCCCTTCTTTGGCTGGCGGCGAGGGAGCGTGTGCAGCTCCCAGGGCATAGACTGGCACTATCAGAACAAGCTGTCACTCATGGGGAATTGTGCAGATCTCCATAACAGCCTCCTCCTTCCCCAGTCTCCTGTGCTTTGATGTGTGGTGAAATAATTAATACTTTAAATGTCAGCACTGTTCTTGTTGGGCATCGGAGTTAGTCCCCGTTGAGATGAATGGGACCGAGCTGTTGGTTCGGGTTTTGCAAATAAGACAGATGTCGTGGCATCAGTTGCTCAAGTGCGAGAGGTTTTTATTTCCAGTGAGTCGTGCCAACTGGAGACTTGTGTTTGAAATGGAAGCACAGGTTTTGGAGGCTAAGGAACAATATAAGAGAGGCAGCAGTGTGCCATACTCTATTTGAGTCTCATCATAAATTAAGCCAGGCAGGCTGTGGAGCATTCAGACCTCTCCCTGCTGCTGACTGTAACAATTCTGTTGTTAAAACAATTACGCTGGAGTGTGGTTTATAAACTAACCGACAGTTTAGTTTATTCGCTAGATGGTTGCTCTTTTTTGCATACATTATCTCACGTCATGAACAATTTTTTAAATTACGTTCTGGGAAATTCAAGAGACCCCTTGTGCCTGAAACACTGGATTTGAGAGTGCCCAAAGGGATTTTGCTGTACCTGAATCTTGTTTTTTTCTTGGGAGTTTCATTTCAGATACCTATCTGATTTGTAGGAAATAATGAGCAGCCTGCTTCTGTGTCAGACTCCTTTATGGTCTCTGAATCCATGAAGCCAAAAGCATTTGGTTATCATTTTCACATGTCTCCATACCATGCAGATAAACCACTGCTGATCCAATAGCTCTTTTCTCACTGGAAGTGGTATCGTGGTGGAGCTGTTAAAACTTGCTGGTGGAGCCTACATCTTACCTCTCCTGGTGCAGTTTCAGCTGAAATGGTGCCATTTGCTCCCACAAACTCTGGAGGTTGTTTCTTACCAGGACTTCATGACAGAGAGATTTTTGTTTCATTAACGAGTAAAACTCGCAGTGGGCAATTTTGTTGCAAGCTGTACAGAAAACCTTTTGTGATGAGAGGCATAATATATGCATTGACTCAAAATGGTTGATTTCTTCTCGGAACAGTTCAACATTGTTGAGAAATGATTTGCTGCTATTTATCTATCAGAACAGAATGAAAATGTCTGTGTCAATACTTTGGAAAAATGTTTGATGGATGATAGCCAATTTCTTTTTCCTGAATTAGAATTCTGTATATTCCCATTAGCTATTTTTAGTCAACTATATATACATTTATGTATAAATTCCTGTATATTTTGCATTGTTTTTGCCTAGCTTAAGATATAAAACTTAACTGATTAGACTTGTAATCAAGAAGAGAAATGGCACGTAATGATGTATAGGCTCTTGAGAGAATTGGCCTATAATTCTCAGGATTATTGGCAAAAAAAAAAAACACCCCCCAAAAAAAACCCTCTTCCCAAATGGGATGTAGATTCTGTGGCAGTTGAAATGTGTATTATTAAACTCCTTAAGCAAACCAGAATGGCTCCCAGTGGAGAGCAAAGACATTCTAAGTATAGCCAAGACTAAATTCTCAGGTCTGGGTTTTCTCTTCTCAATTCCCACTTGATTATCTCCTGTAATATTTAAACTTCATGCCATGCCATAATTATTTAATAAAAAGTAAATATAAAATGTATCTCAGTGGGGAATATGACCTTTTACCTTCTTGTTGTTATACCAAAGACAGACACAGATAAACAGAGAATTTGGAGCGGTGTAACAGTCTGTCTCACTTGATAGTTTCATTCTCCCCGTATCAGAAATGGTTATCATGGAAGGTGCTGAGTACATTTGGGAAGATTAAATAAGTGCCATCAGCATCTCTTGGAATCAGGTATTTTCAGCTGTGTTGATGTCACTGGTTCGTTCAAAAAAAATTATTTTTTTTTAAGAAGGAAAAACAGTACCAGAGGATGGAAGAAGCCGGTACTGAATGAGGATATTGCTCAAGGAGCTACATATGTTACTTATTAAACGCTTTGTGGAATTCTCATCAGGATTCTTAGCATGTGATTGCATGAACATATCATTTAAGGCACATTCTGAAATATAAGGAATTTCTTTAAAAATACCTGTGCTTGTATTAGCTAGCACTAGTACTCCTAATGTATTAGAGGCAAATCCTATAAGCATGCTGAACTTTAAAGAGCTGTCTTTGGTTTCTGTATCAGTTGGAATCAGACTTTAATTCTGAGTAATCAGAAACTAGATTATTACTGTCAGATGCAATGTAGAGCGTATCAGTGTGCCTGAAGTTTTCTGAACTTAACCAACGTTGCCGTAAGGGCTCTACCAGCTTGTACCGAGGATCTGGGTTAAAATATTGTGTTTTAGCCACTAGCAATTAACACCATTACACTGAAGTGGCTGTGTATGCAGAAGAGCCACACTCAATTTAAGAATTTTATGTGTCTGATGATGGGCTGCACCCTGGTTGCCTGCGGTATCTTTCAGATTATTCACTCAGCCTTTAATACATGGTAAGTCTGCACTGACAATTGAAGCAGTTTTAGGTGTGCAAGTTGCACGTTTGGTCCTTATTGACAAAGCCAAACTCACTAGTGTTACCCCTTGTGTGCTTTCAGTTAGAAGTCGTGCAAACAGCCTGTAGCGTTCACATACATTTTGTCATTTGTGTCAATGTATCTGCCTCTGAGCACATTTTCTGGAGTACTGGCAGAAAATGAGCATGTGCATTCAGTTCAGCTGTGCCCACCAGAAGGAGCAGGCAGAGGGGATGTGTGTGTGTATATATGCATGAACGCACAGAATTCTTGCAAGAGTTGGTTACAAGCAGGAAGATATCTCTAATTCTTTATTTAACAAGTTACAGACACACTGCGGGATTCTCCAGAACCATGCAGTTTGTTGTACAGATAAGGCAGAAACATCTGTACAATTAAATGGGTGGAGTTGGGGCACCAGGAGTCAGGACACCTGGTCTGTATAATATGGTTCAACATTGATAGCTTCTGTACTGCAGCTTTTTTAGTGGTACAAAAGTAATATCTTCGAAAAGAAACTGGGATGTTCATGCAGAGGTTCTTACAGAGTTTCACTTACTGTTAAACTTGTCTCACGCAGTGATCAGGGCTCACCTGAGTACTAGGCAAAACCCGGACAAGGAGAGGTTTCAGTGCAGCAGCTGTGAAACTTGCCTTTTTAGAATACATTATCACATAATGCATTGTTTTCTGTTCTCCTTTCAGCTTTAAATGAACCTACCATAGATTATGGTTTCCAAAGACTGCAGAAGGTGATCCCAAGACATCCAGGTGACCCTGAAAGACTAGCTAAGGTAAAATATTTCCAAGTGTTTTAAATGAGCCCACAAACTATTCTCTTCCACTTCTAGCTCATAAAAGAGATAAAATCATATCTTAAGCGATGATTATATCTGAACATAACTTCACCAATTTTAGGTTGTAGGTTCAAACACCAATTTGAGCATGCTGACCCCGCAGATGCCAGTAATTTTTACCTGTTAGAGCTCAAACATTTTCTGTGAACTTCTCTGCCATTTGTCTTTATTCACATCGGCAAATCTCTGCACCGAAGATACATGATGAGCATAAAGGAATTGTTACAGAGGTCTGTTCTTAAGGGAATCTCTTAGTAAAAAAATAACTCAAAGCCCAGCTTTTTCTGTAGCCACAACTGCAACATGTATGTGTTGAAACAACTGTAGCTGTAACCTTGCACACCCTGTTGATTTAGTACCTAGCATGATGCAGGTGGCATTAAAGACTCTATTCCTTGCTTTTAGTGCACTGAAAATAACTATTATTATCTTTACATGGGGACAGGCTGTTGTATTCAGATATTATACTGTGTTTGTTTTTTTTCCTTACAACCAGAGGTGACAGAAGATATCTACTGGCTAAAGCGTGTTATTTGATTGATTACCATTACTGAGGAAAAAATAAATGGACGTATAGATAAAACAGATATTTTAATTATTATTATTATTTATATCTGTGCAAAAGAATATATTGAAATGCAGTAGCAAAATGAGCTTCTATTTGAAATTGGGTTCTGTCTGAAAATCGTCTCCATTTCTCAAGCGAGGGTGCTTAAAGCAGCTTCAGGACTATGGAGAGCTCCACGGCCCTGCCGAAGTCGGGCTGTGCCGCACAGCCAGCGGCAGCCAATTTGTAGCACGCACGCAACGCTTTCCAGAATGACCAATGATTTTGGATGTCTAATCTGAGATACTGCAAGGGGGTTGATTTTTCATTTATTATATTTTGCCATATATTATGCCAAATAATGCCTCTTTAAGGGACTCACTTTTGAGAATGACCCCACATAATCACTCATGACCTCAGAAAACACTAGCCCGTGGTTTTATTTATACTAAAATCATTTTCTTTTAAAATGTCAATTTTACTATCTGCTCATCCTCTAGGAAATGCTATTGAAACGAGCTGCTGACCTAGTTGAAGCACTGTATGGCACGCCACATAACAACCAGGTCAGTGGAACCCCTCTCAGCAGGGTAGTGGGATACGGTGAGATTTTTGTAATAAACTCCAAACATTTTCTCCAAGCACATTCCTGAAGTTGTGCCCTTCACTGTGCAGGACATCATTCTGAAACGAGCTGCAGACATTGCAGAAGCTCTCTATAGTGTACCGAGGAATCCCGCACAGATCCCCGCACTGTCCAGCTCCCCGGCTCACAGCAGTATGATGGGAATTAACTCCTATGGCAGCCAGTTAGGCGTCAGCATTTCAGAGTCAGCACAGGGGAACAACCAAGGTAAGCACTGCAAGCAGCACCGTGTTAGTTGAAAAAATGAAAAGCTAAATCATAGTCATTTCCATCCTAGTTTTTAAACTTTTCTACCTACTCAGCTTCTGAACACAAAGATGGCTTTAAGCTGTCAGCACTAGGAGTGGATGCATGGTGCCGTTTTGGACGCTATTTCTGTACACCAGGTTCCAGTCATCCAATTAGCTATGGCTGAAGCCATTCTTGGGTAGATTTGACATCAACCTAACCCTCAATTCTCTCCCTGCTCCACTCAATATCTTTTGTTAGATCTCTGTTTTCGTAAAAGACAAGGACAACAACTGAACAAACTCTCACTTAAAGAGGTGGGGAATTTTCCTTCTTTTTTTTAATTTTTTTTAAAGGTTTCTTCCTCAACATTTATTTTACCAATTTGCATATGTTTTATTTATCAAACATGATATATTATTGATTTTTTTAGGGAAAAAAAAAAGCCATAAAATGTCATATTAACATCACAGGAGTAATACAAACTTTGGGCATTTTCTGACTCTTGACTATTTAATTTCTCAGGTTAACAATGTGTTCCGGTAACATATGAATCTGTGGTGTCTGACTGCATGAATAGCTGTGATTAAAACGCTCTAAAGTGTTAAAGCCATGTCATATGAAGTTAGTATTAAATGTGCCATACCAAAAGTAATAATGTAGATAATTTTGTTAGTTTTTTTAATAAGGTCTTACCAACCCTGAATTAGAGCTTCATAGTATTAATGGGCAGAAATAACCTAATTTAGTTAAATGGTAACCACTTTTGTATTTATTGGATCATATCTTTCTAATGAAAGCTCTTCAGTGGATAAAAAACATTTTATGCTGTACTAATAGCCTTGTGATAATAATAATAATGTGTACTAATAGCCTTATAATGCTGATAATTAAGGTATTCTCTTTTTGGAGAAAAAAAGCCAAGGTTTTATTTACACATTTTATTCTTTCTGTTAACTGCAAACTACATATTGGTTATAATTTCCCCTTAAAAATGTACATGATTTCTCTGTAATTCATCAATAATTTGAAAAGTATAAACTTCCACCTAAAATTACAGAAAATCACACAAATTGTACATCAGAAAAATGAGCACACATTTTTTCCAGGTCTTGGAACAGATTTCAACTTCAAAAAAAGCCAAATCTAATCAGACAAATATACATCAGTTCATCTAAAAAAGTTTAGTTCCCTACCTTGCTTTAAAACTCAGTGTTGCTTAACTTGAAAGCACGTGCATACAAAACACAGAATTTAATGGTACATGCTTGACTGTTTAAATTCATCTGGATTTAAATAAATCATTTATTTAACCAGGAGAAAGGATTTTTTCATATTTATACAGGAAAAAGTTTAAATTTAATTTCATTGACATGCTGTGAAATGTTTTATTTTTAGGTTATATTCGCAATACAAGCAGCATCTCACCCCGTGGTTACTCCTCCAGTTCCACGCCTCAGCAGTCCAACTACAGCACTTCCAGCAATAGTATGAACGGCTACAGCAACGTCCCCATGTCCAACCTGGGCGTTCCAGGCTCACCTGGGTTCATTAACGGCTCTCCAACAGGATCCCCTTACGGAAGTATGTGCTTTGGTTCTTTTGTAATTGGTGCCTCGTCCTGCTTAGCTTAATTTACCACATCAAAAAATGCAGCAAGTGCTGTCTTTCAGAAGTTCTCAAGATTTAGTGAAATCCAATGATTCTAAATTTTTGTAAAAGGTTCTGATTTGTGTTCCGGTATATTCTAGTATGAACTAGCAAATGTTCCCGTTTTTCAAGAACAACAGAGAAATATTGAATCCTACCTGTGCTTCAATTTTTTTTTTTCCTTATGCAGATTCCTAAGCAAGTGGCAAAGGCCACAGAGAGAAAGGAGGCACAATTTGTTACTTTAGATGCAAAAAATGTTTAGATGTTACTTTAGATCCACTTAAAGGAAAGAGGCTACTCTGATCCTTTCTCAAAGGCAGTCTGTGTTTTTTATGTCCATGAAGAAGTGCATGAACTGCATTAGCAATAACAGAGCTGAATTTTGGATTAATTTCCTGTGAAATTATTTTCACCGTGATGATAAGCAGAAATATAACAACAAAAGCGTTAACTGCATTTCCAGTTACCAGTTACCACTCTTCTTTCCATGCCTTGATTTCCCTCTGTAGGAGCGTGTGTCGATGTGTGTGTATGTACATCTATCTACACATACACGTACACACATTTTTGTATTTTTATCTCCATATGTATGAAAGTGTGAAAACAGCGAAACAGTTTTAATTTATTTACTATTTTATATTATATTCACATTCTCTATGAATTATATTATACCCACTTTGCAGTGATGATGAGGGTTTCTTGCCGGTCTGAAACTTGCTAAATAATATCCTCATGCTTTGAGTTGTAATTTAAGGTGAAGCCCAAAGAATGTTCAGGTACTTTGGATTCTTCCCCTGTTCTGGAGCTTTGCCATTGATTTCAGTAAGGAAAGGACCAGGTTTGCAGTATATTGGTGTTCTTATTTCAAACTACTACTTACGTGAGACTTGGGGATTTACTTGAAACCACAAGGAATATTGTTAGTTGTTCCTTCTTTCCAGAGAATTAGTTGATATTTTTCTAAAAGGTAAGCTTACAGGTGCTGTGCAATGGGACTTTTTCTTCAAAGACACCTCTTTAAAAAGAAGACAGTTCAGATTCAAATCTCATTAAAAGCTTAAAACATCCCCCCAGCAAGCTCCAACCAATGAAATCTTCCAGGGAATGGACAGGAGTTATTTATTTTCCCAATTTCAATGCACAAACTGTAAGTGCACGTGCCATTACTCTCTACTGTTTGTTCACATTGACTCTCTCTCTCCCTTGCTGACTTACCATTTTCTGATGCACTCATCCCTCATTTTAAAATAATTAAATGTATTTTTTTTCTCAGCTAAAGTATTCAAGGTAACTACATCTTTACCTCTAGGTTTACCTTAAACAGCCAAGTCAATGGGACAGACATTTTAAGCAGTTTTACCAACTAAAATTGCATTTCTGATGAGAATTCACTTTTTTCTTTTTGCAGTAATGTCTTCAAGTCCAACAGTTGGCTCCTCCAGCACTTCTTCCATCCTTCCATTCTCCTCTTCCGTCTTTCCTGCTGTCAAACAGAAGAGTGCCTTTGCTCCCGTCATCAGACCCCAAGGGTCTCCTTCTCCTGCCTGCTCTAGTGGCAATGGAAATGGGTTTAGAGGTAAGAAATGTACAATTAATATTCAGCTGGCACACACAAAGCACGCTGCGTTAGCCTCATAAATACAGTAATCATCTGAAGACCATTTCACCATTACAGCACTCACTAGTGAAAATTTGACCCAATTCAATGGGATTAAAGCATTGCTCCAAGGTTTGTCTATTCTGAGGTAAAACAATGGGGGACAGACACTCGTTTAAACCAAGAAAGATTTGACCCACACTGCATTTAAATACCCACTCTTTTGTGAGGAACAGCTTCTCCTTAGGCTTCAGGGACTTATAAAACCAGCGTCTGCCCTGCAGAGTTAATAGACAGCTCTGTACACAACGGCCAACGTCTTGAAACCTGCTGCAAGGTTTAGGCTCATACAGGGAATTAAGCCCTATAGTACATTTACAGCCTTTTTAAAGGTGATCTGCAAAACAAATGTGAGTATTAAGATAAGAATGGAAACCTGTACTAAATTCTTTCTTTTAACAGGCTGTGGGGGGGCATGCGGTACATAAATACACTCCAAGTCTCCATAAAAAAAAACCTTTATAGGGCCTGAGAAGTCATCTGGCTCCTTCAGACTTCACTAGAGATACCATAGAGAAAACAACTCTGGGAATTCAGCCATGCCAAGAGCCAGTGGTAATTCTAAAATGAGTCTTACAAACCACACCTGTTGATCTGGGTGCATTATAAATCCTTAGCTAGGCCACAGGGACTAACATAAACTGTGATTATTTTATATAATAAGGAAATTTTAGGTGTGTTGAACAAAAATAATTATATTTTTAAAAGCTAACTTACAGAATTCTGCTATATATGTGAAACAGCTTATTCCCCTGCCCCAATTTTGTGCCTAAGATCATCTCCTTTCCCCAGTAATGAAACATATTAATATATCCATGTAAATGCACAAGCATCATATTAATAGGGAATTCAATTTCTCTCTTACTCAAAGGAGAAGAGTAGAAGGGTTTGAAGCAATTTTTTTAATCTATACAAATAGAAAGCTTTGTTGGCCCAACAGCTGTGGCTATTTAGCTACACCATTTAGAGATGGGTTTATCTTTGTTAATGATGTATGATCATGGTCTCTAAAGTGTAATCATCACTACCTGGTCTGCAGTTAACTTTAATTCCTTGAGTTCTTCATATCAGCTAAAGCAGGAATGTATTGATTTCACTGTGCTTTTATTAAAAACAAATAAATAAATAAGTGCACATGGTGAGGCTTTAGGTGTTTTAAGGAACTAGCCCAAGGTTATGTGATTTTAAACAGATTTAGTTAAACATTTAACTAGGAAGGCCTATCAACTTAAGAGTAGTTTGCTCGGTTAGCTTAAGCCGGTTGGACAGTGCTCTATAATCCAAAGACAAATCACTCGAGTTGCTGTGCATTCAGAGTAGATTTAAATCTGATTTAAAATTAAACTTGTGTAACTGCCATGCTGAGGAGGGCAAATTTTTAAGAAATTACCCAAGCCGGTGCTAACTGCAGATCAGCTTGGTGAAAAAATCACTTTGGGAAAACTGTTTCTGGGAGACAGAAAAAGGACAGGATAAGAAAAACATTGACTTTTTATGTAGCTAATACTTTTCCTTAACCTACCATGTCTGTTCCATCTGCCTAAGCCTGTGCTTAGCAAGAATTTGTTATTCTTCCTTAAACCTCTTATAAACAGGTGAAGTACTGGAGTGCTGGTCATGTGCTGTTCATGCCAGTTAGTGTTTACAAAATATTTCATCCAATCTATAAACTGGTAATAAATTCTAGAAATAGAAATTTAATATCAAGTATTAGATAAAATCTCAAAGGTAAAAACCCAGGACTCTCATGTATGCATTTCTTTTACTACCAAAAGTCCACTCTATCCCCTTCTTTGCAGGAAAGCTCCTTGTACACCAACACTGTGATAAATAAATACAGTAATACAGCTACAACTGTCATTTAAATAAGCTTTCAGCAGCCACCACACCTAGTACAATGAGACTTGTCAGGCAGGCAGCAACAACAAACAGCAGCTGTGACTCACCACACAGACAGTAGTCGAACACGTCTGCCCAAGGTTCATTATGCCAGATCTTCATCGCTATTTAACTATTTCAGCCATAGATGTAAATTTTTTCCAACTGAAATATTTAAATTGATGCAAGCTGGGGAGCACATGCTTTGGAAAGGATCCAGATCCACGCAGCCTGATATCCAAATTAATGTTCCCACAGTGTTGACAGACAGATGTGGCCAGAAAGTCAACAGGAGGGTCCCAAAGAGGCTTCTTGAATGGACTTACTGTGCTGCAGCGATGGGAGACTGTTAATCTCCATTGCTATGCCATCACCCTGTGTTACATAAGCTAAGAATAGGTGTGCTGGTAATGTAATTTTTATTATTATTTTATTTTTAATGTAGGCATCAGCAAAAGCACAGCTCAAGCAGTAAGTATATAAGCAGGCTCCATCCCAAAGCACATCTTACAAGGGGTTTGGTATTGCCTCTCAATTTCCCTATCCATAATTCAGGGAAAACATCTCCCCAACAGGGATTTTTTTGAACTTTAATGTAGTGTGTGCAATGTTGTACTTTGGCTACATCTATTGTTCAAGGGCAAGAGTTTCCTAGTAATACAGTCTCCATCCTACTTATTGCATCCTGCTGCTGTGATATTATCAGAAATATTACCAGCACCACAGGGCATGCCACTCTACTTACAAGGAGCAACAAAAATCTTGAATATAGCTTCTGTGTATGTTAACCACAACTGTGTTTAGGCTTGGATCAAAACTAGTCTAAACAGGAGGAGCTCTACAAGCTTCATCCTCAGATTATTATTATTCCTAGCCGTTTATAGAGTTTACAGTGCTCATAGTATTTATTTTACAAAAATCTTTTTGAAAAACAAACCAAAACAAAACAGTCATACTTAAAGCTTCTGGAGACAATAGGCCAGCTTGTAAAAAATATATTGTAAGTCAGGAGTATTAGCTAAGCATGGAACATGCATATCTACTGCCGTACAGCTTTGGGCTGCACAACACAGCCAAGACATGTGGGCCTACCCTCAGATAACCCCATCCTGTGCCATGTGTTCTCGCTTACCTCTTTCACCTGCCATCTGCTATACATTCTGACAGTGTAACAGGACATGATAGGTGGAGAACAAGCAGCAATCCATACTGGACACCACTCAGTTCTATATGCTCTCCAAATTGAGAGCAGGTGATCTTGATCAGAACAATTGTTTGCTCCATTCACGTCATATGTCAAGGGAGTTTAAAAAAGGCACTGGGAAGATATAATGTGACGTGACGCAACGCGGCATGATAAGTACACAAATGCCTAATCAACTCATCTCAGATGGAAGGCAGCTGATGGGGAAAAGTAAGCAAATTGGAAACTGCTGGAACAGCATGGACCGCTGACTGCCCAGATTACCCTTGGCCAGCTCAGCACATCTCAACATAAAAATGCAAGCTCAGTTACAAGGAATAGCAGGCAAGCCCCAGAAGGTCAGATGTTCCATTAACCACCAGGATCCTGGCCAATCCAAAAGGTACTGAAGTCTGATATGCTTAGGAACAGCCTCAATTTAGCAGCGGGGACATCTGCACTATTCCCTAAGGAAATACAGGTTTTTGAGTTAAAGACCCTAATTGCTCATATCTTGTCTTGACAAAGTTCGGGGTGTCAACAGCACAGGGAAGCCTGGTCTGCTTGCATTAAAAGGCTGCAGAAACAGGTAGGGAATACCTGCTCTGAAAAGTTTGTAAAGGGTGGGCTTCTGAACAGAGCAATGGTTCTTGATTGCTCCCAGTGCCTGACCTGCTGTGCCAGCTTGAAGCCTAGCTTCAGTCAACACGATGCTGTATTTTAAAATAACTCTTAGCTGTTCTGACCAGGTAAAAATAACTGGGTGTTTCCTAGCTAGGAGTGTGCAGTAATATGCCTCTGTCTGAACCAGGATGATTCCAGAGCCGAGCCAGTGCTCTAAGTATGCCCAAGCCTGTAAATGATATACCCATGATGTCAATATATACGGAAAATATCTATCTGTCATGTGATTAAATTTGATATACAGGAAGGATCAAGTACATTTTTCTCCCCAGTTTATTGGCAGAGATGTATGGGGCACAGACTGCCTCTAAACAAAGAAAACCTTAAGAGATATTTACATTTCTTGTTAACACTTAGCTAAAAAATCCCTCCTGTGCCTACTATTTACTTATCTTTCATTTGATGGGATGTTAATTTTGGTATCTCATCGTATGTCACAAACTTACTCAAGTGAGACAAGAGCTCCATTTTTCATGGGAGAACATAAAAATCTGCACCTATTTTATTTATGGAAAGACAAAGTCAGGCCTATTTTATGTCACAAAAAAAAAAAAAAAAGTGGGTAGGATTTAATACCGATTTCTCCTTCACAGGCTAAAACTTAGCCACTTTGTAGTCCATCTGGAAACATACATAACTGCAGAGGGGCTACACATTCCTGTGCTCTTTAATAATTAAGCTAATGCATATCACTTTGCAAACACGTATTTTGATTTTTAAGGCTGTTCCTAATTAAATGGAACTAAATTAAAATAAGTGTTCAGGCGGCCTTTTGCACATGTACAACTTAGCACAGTGCAGAGATCTGTAGCTACAGCAGTGTAACTCAATAGCTGAGGTCGAGTTAACTTCTCCATCTCTAGCTGGCAAAAGCTTTGTTTATATTTTTAAAAAAACATTTAAAAAAACATAAAATATGGTTTAACCTGCTTATCTTCTAAAGCAGAAAAAACACTACTTATTTAAAAATATTTTACTTACATGTGCAATCATCTGCTTGCATGTAGCTGAATGCAAATCTTCCAGACAGACAGATTTTTTGCTTAAAAAAAATAAAAATTAATTTCTTTTGGGGAAAATATAAAATAAATTCTTCAAGAAAAACAAGTATTTTGTTATTACTTTTTAGTATCTTAGCTAGAACTATCCTCCCAGGTCCTTCACAGAAGCTACAATTTATTTCACTTACAGTCTGCTATAAAGGATGGTGGTGTCCGTCATCCAAGCCACTGATGTTTTCTGCTTATGTGAGTCAGCTCTTTTTCTCTGGAAGTCTTCTTTTTTCTTGCCTTTTCAGCTGATTACTCCCTCATAAAATGGTGCACTGTTTTACAAACTTCTCCCTGGCCTTAATATTAGAAGTGAAACTACACATTTTTCTGGTTGTAGCCATAGTGGGAGTCAAAGATATCAGTAAGGTGAAGCCTGCACCCACCAGCTGCAACTTCTATGCGTTTAAACTGAATGACACGGCTGCTAGCTCTGGTACCAGCAGCTCGGTGGCTTGCCATGTACAAACTTACCTTTATGTACAGGACAGCTCATACACAGAGATATTTCTGGCATTGCAGGACAGGAATAGCCGTTTAAGATGCTCAGGGCAGCACCACTGCAGCTCTTCATTCACCTCGTCAGTGAGCTGCACAACCACAAGATTTGGGCTTGCTGGGAGCTTAGTGGCAAGAGAGGAAACCTGAGTCAAACAACCAAATGAGAGGGCAACAAAAAATGACCGAAAATGCTCAACACCCATCTATAAAGCATAGCCTGTAAAACAGGGCATAATGTAGACCCCAAGAAAGCAGCTGAGACATCCAAAGAGCTCGATCAGGGTGTGCACACGTACAGGTGTGTACGTTAACACAGCACTGAGCCCCTTTCCAGTTCTTCCCAAGTGCCTGTGTGAATTGCATGCCGAGTTCTTTCCACGACAAAGCAAGACAGCATTTTCAGGAGCCACTCGTATACACTAGGCTTATGATCATTATTAATTACACCCATTAAAGGTGCCTATCACCATAGCATCTGGGTACTATCCATGTTTGATTATTTATTTATAAAAAAATTCTCCAACCTTGTGACAATTTTAATCAAGTGTTTCAGTTGATAATTGCAAGCTGTCAAGGTTAATACAATAAGGCTCATCTCTAATTCTTTTTCCATTTCCCTTCAAGAAAAAAAAAAACAACCCTCTGGGATAATGACTGTGGTTTCTATATTCCCAACTCATCAGGGAGTGTCCTGCATTGAACCACCTTTATTGAAAAGTTACATCGATTCAATATATAGTAATACAGGCAAAAATAATTACAGCTTTGCTAGCAGTGTAAGACCTTAATCCAAACCTCACAAACATTCAATAAAAAGCGATACAGGCTGGGAATAGGCTTTTGACAGTGCAGCCCCAAAGGGGAGTGGAGGTGGGGTGGAAATGGACAGATAAGGTACGCAAAAAGAGAAGCACAGAGTGAGGCTGTTTACATGAGCTGTAGAAAAAAAAGGTGAGAATTCCTCAACTTGTTCTTTGTTGTAGAAAGAGGTGAAGCTGCAACGTTGGGGTGAAAGACCAGGGAAGTTATGAGGCTTTTTGCCTTTTTTTTGCCTTTTAAGCATCATCTCTTTAATTACACAGCAAAAATGTAGTTGTCCCTCAATGTAAGGAACTTCTCATAATGCTGTGTCTACAAGTAGTCTTAAAATATTTTTAAGAGAAATGGAAGAAACTCAGGTCTTTGATTTGGTCTTTGATCTGCTGCAAAGTTTTCCTTGATTAAGAGAATGAAAATAATATTGATAAGAGCAGTACCTGAAAAAGCTTTTATGCCAGTATGACCAATGCCCCTTGGGAATAGAGTTTAAACTACACTGACAGCAAACCCTGTGTGTCTCACATGAAACCATGTCAGCTCTACCAGGGTCTGCTGCCTCTCTGCCCAGACAGCCTAAAAGCCACGGACAGGGGCTGTCTCTGGCTGTGCCAGGAGAACAGATTACCCCCGTATGGACCGACCAGGCACAGGCTGTGTGAGTGCTCCTTCATTTGCTTCAGGCAAAAGACCCAGCCAGGATACCTCAGACAAACAATTTAAATTCTTTGAGCTAACTCGGATGATTTTGCCTGGAGCAGATTAGGAAGTGCTCGCGCAGACTGCTCCGCTGGGAAACCTGCAGGATGGCCGGGAGCAGCTGAGGGCACTTACCTCTTCTGCAGCCCAACAGAGTCTGGATGAGGGCATCAATCCAGGACTGAAATCAAACTTTCTGTTCTGGAGGGCTGAAAGGCAGGCATGTGGTTAATGCACAAGGAGAGGGTTCTGCAGAGTCAGGCTGGGACTGCACCGACCCTCGAGGAAGTGAAGGTCGGTCTTCAATTTTGGGAGTGAGGAAGAGGAAAGGATCAGCCCCTGCAGTGCTACAGAAAACCTCTCTTCCTCAAATGTGCACGCTGTCACCTCTCTCATCTCTGCCCCCTCCTCCCCCCAGACAGGCATGCAAAGATTTACTTCCCTTATTTAGGGTGATGTCATTGTCTCCTTGACAAATCTCTGTTTGAAAAATACTAGCAAATTCCCAGGCAATTAAAACAGTAGAAATTTGACTTGACTATTTAGTTTCACTTTCTTTTTCAACTATTTGCCAAAATTGGCAGGAAATTTTAGCCCTAGTCACTTACAAAATATGAAAATATTTATTTTCCTATTGTGTTAACTCATAGACCATATCCACAGTTGTTTAAAATCAACAGAGCTCCAATAAAAGAGTCATGTTAGCTGAGGATCTTGCCCTGAGCATTTTTTTTTTAAAAACACTATGAACATAAGGGTGAAATTAATTCTCAGAGGACAGGGCTTTAAACACATGAATAATCCCACAAATTTCAGTGAACGTAAATCTTTGCAGGATTAGGACTTTGCACTACACTGAGGCCCCTTTGAAAATATGACTCACTCATTTGTTATATAAATACGTATAAACTTAACTTACCCCTCAAAACCTCTGGGAGCAGCACCAGTTCCAGGCAGCTTCAAATGTTGCTGTTGTCAGTTATGAAGAATATAGCTGCAATTAAAGGCACCGGGAGTGACTAATAAATAATTTACATAAGCCCAGTGTTCTGGGACTGTGCCAGGTAAGGCTACAGTCATTCAGACATATGGGGTAAACCAAGCGAGAAAGAGAGGCTGGGCCACTGCTTCCACTGGAAGTAAATGAGCAAACCCCAGCTCTGGTCCTTCTCCAAGGAATTGGCACGTGTAGTTCTGGGGCTGGGTCCCAGAAGCAGCTCAGGAGCCAGTTTGCATTTGCTTTCCATCGTCCTTCCTCACATAACCTTGCAGGTTGAGTGGGGAACAGAGGAGCCTCCTTGAGATCCTGATTTTTCAAAAGTGATTTTGACTATTCAGCTTGAGACAGCATCAGAAGGCTGAAAGTTTGGGGACAGTTCTAAGCAGTGGCCAGCTCTGAGAAGTCTCAGGACACAACCACCCCAAAATCATTAGGTGTTTCTGAAAATTCATGTGCTAAGACTTGAATTAATCCACTGCCTATCTCCTTCATCCACTTAAAAAAAAACACACTGGCCCTGTCCTTTAGGTGAATTGATGAAGAAATAACACATTGGCCATTTTCTGGGATCACTGTCAGTCTGGCAGTGTTAGTTCTTCTCACTGAGCATAAAAACATTAGAAGCTGAAGGTCTTTTAATGTAGTAGGTTAACCTGCAGATATAGCCCCTGCTGCAATGCGTGACTGCACACAGAAGGGTGAAGGGCTCAAATAGAGTTTGTTCCATAAAAATATGCCAGCATTTCATCTTTGTCAATTTTCTTTTTCAGCCATGACTGGTCTTGTCGTTCCCCCGATGTAAGGAAGAGGCAGCTTTGCTCCTCTCCCTCTTCCCTTTTTTCCTCTTTTTTTCATTTTTCTTTTACAGCACAAAACTACTTATTGTGATGGACCACTAAAAAGAAAAAACATAGCACTACAAGCTCTTTTTTGGGGGAAAGCCAGGCCCATGAAAAATAAAGGAACATTTTTTATGGATTGGACAAGATAGAAGGCTGCATCTTTTACCTGTTTCATATTTCTGACACAACCACATCAACTCCTAAAACATTGTGAACGAAGAATCAGCCAAGAGCCAGGACGAACAACAGTTGGCAGAACGGAAGCAGAAATGCAAAGTCTTTCTTGAAAGACACGAAACCTTCCTAAGATTTGTAAAATATTAAAAGGAAAAAGAAATTGGCAAAATGATTCAAGCTCGATATTTTGGATACAATTTGTTTTACTTTGTAGGGGTAAAAAGTTGAAGTTTCTATTTTCTATGGAGCCTTTCAGATATCGATTTAGTTTATGCAGAAAAAAATTCAACAAAACAGGGTACCAGCATGAAAGAATTTCTAGGACAAACTGACACGAATGATGGAACTTTGGTGTATGTGTGTATTTGCTTATAGTTTAACCTCTTTAAAAATGTAAGATGTTTTACAATTATTTAAATAAATAAACTTGTAACTTATTGTATGTAGAGGTAGAAATTAAACCTTTTTTGGATTTTTTCCTCCAGTTGTACAATGAAGAAAAATGATGCAAAAATGTAGTGACGAGTTCAATATATATTATTACTGCTGCAGTTGCTCCTCACTTCTTCCCTCTTAGTGAATTCATGTGCAAGGATTTGTAGAATTCTTTCTGATTAACAAACTCATCAGAAACTTTTATACGCATTGTGGTATACAGGACACTAATTCATGTATAAATTTTCATCCTCCTCATCTTTCCCCTCTTCCATTTTTCTCTTTCAATTAAGATATTCAGGTACTAGGATTATCTGGTGAGTTTCAAAGACCCTACTGGCAAATGAGCGGCACTTGGGGATTTGGACAAATCAGATTTTTCATGCGGTAGTGAGTTTATTTTATACATTCAGTGTATGAATTGGGAGGGAAAGGGCTCTCTGACATTGTTTTTCCATGTAGTTAGAACACCTTACGTTCAGTTATACTTCATATTAAGGGTGCATTTATAAAGGGTAAATATGTATTTGACTAATTTATGCACTTTTATCCTGAGTCAATAAAAATGGTAAGTATTTTCCATTTATATACTAAAGTTTATAGAAGTAATTGTTTTGAATTTTTCTGCATTGTAGTGTAAGAAAAAATGAGTTCTCCTTTGCTTCTCCTCTCCTGAAATTGGAAGGTGAGAGGGGAACAAAACTAATCACTTGTTATCTGACCAAACATGAAAACTTGGTACCAATCAAAGAACTCAATTTTGTTGGAAAGCCATTTTTTGAGGGGAAAAAAAAAAAAAAAAAGTCAGCTATGCTACTCCCCACTAAAATACATAACATTACTATCTGCACAAGTAGTTCTTCCTATGATGACATCTTTCTGTTGATAGATAAACCGTTAGTGTATGGCCTCTGAAACCACCCTTGTCCATTTGCCCGGTACTTTTACTGATGTGTAAGTAAAATGGGATTCTTGGTGATCCAAGAATATGTGGTAGGTGATGTTCAATTCAGTGCTGGACTCGGGATGGAGAACTGTGACAACCTCCATGGCTGAGGTAATCTGGAGCCCATTTGGAGCTCATATGGATTAGTAACAGACTAGGAAGTCTGTATCTAGAGCCAGGGTTCAAATCCAGCTGCAACAATTAGTGACTAGGGCTTGGTGTTGTGTGTGGTATGACTTTATTACAGACCCTCACTGCATGGACAGGCTTCTGGCATAGGACTGTGTTCTGCAAATGTGTAAAAATCATCCCTGTGAATAACCCAGTGCAGGAAAGCTGACTCCCTGTGACCACACTTCTGAGTCAAACTGTGTGAGAATAGGTCCTCCTTGGAGCTCGACTTTCATGCTGTAGCACAGAGTTCAGATAATGAGAAGTGTACTCAGTATACACAAATATTGACAGGCTGCTTCTTAACCAGAATGCAGCACAGGAAAGAAGCCAGTGGATTGCAAAGGCAATGACACTGGCCTACTCCTGCCATTCCTAGAGATGATGCGCTTGTTGGAAGCAGCTCTGAACCGGCTGTGCCGTGATGCTTCAGTAGGGGATTCCTTAGGTGCTTTTTTAATGCTATTGAATTCCTTTTCTAAATGTGAAGGGGGGAGATAGGGGGGTTACTGCTACTGCCTTCTAAAACTCAAGGCTCAGTTTATTTGCAATAGTAGCAATTAAAAGCCACTTTCAAAAGAGATTAGGTGAGAACAATATGTTTTTAAGAAGCATGACTGTAGTTAGTTAGTCTTGCAGTCAGGTTAGTAAAAGTGTCTCATTTCAGAAGGACAAAATAAAATAACTCACCACTGTTATGGATGTTCCTTGACACTGCAGGCTCTCTGCATGCCCTTCGTGCCATCAGGGAAGCAGTAGTCACCGGCAATCAGCAAAGCAAGCAGCATTAAAGCCAAGTGCTCCCTGGAATATGAAAGAATCACGTGTTAAGATGTCCGGAGTTGTACCAGAGTACTGCCCTACATTCACTTTTGATAGCACAGTAGGGTGTACTAGCTAACCTGATAACTGCTACTGAGAACAAGAAAAATGAATTGCAGACATCCAGAGGTACCAATATCCCAGCACAGTTAAGCATGGGAGGTCAAAATTCATGGTTGGATTTCTGCAACCATACAGGAAAAAAAAAATACGACAGTTTGAGGATTATTAAGAGATGGGGTTAAGACTTCCAGAAATGTCAGTGAATATTCCATTGAGTCCTAGATTTCCAAAAGTGTCTTGATCAGATTAGTTTCTAATATATAATCTCCCTCCCAGCATGTTCATGTACTAAAGCAACTCAAAAAGCTCCAAAGCATAAAGGTGTTGGATTTTTTTCCCCTGCCCCTCTCTGTACAGGGTGTGTTCTAATTTTATCATCAGTTTATACTCACAACTCCAAGCCCAGCAAATATCCCAGGTAGGAATTTCCAGACCACAGGCAGAAGAGCAGCAGCTCGCTATGACTCCTCACATTTCTAACAAATAAGTTTTTCACTACAGAATTTCAGTCAGAAAGATTCCCAATGAAAAACTGAGACATTTCAAGGAAAGTGAGCTATTCCGATAATTCCCCACCCTTCTTTTTTTATTATTGCTTAGTCAGTGTAGGGACCTAAAAAGAGATCACTGAAAACTCAGGAAGATTTGGGGAAAAAAACAAAAAACAACAACAAATGGTTTGCTAAAAAAATAAAATGTTCTGAAATTCTCAACATTCCTTTCACATTTCAATTATTATTTTATTGGCTCTGTCCAGTTGCACGTGTGGGAGAGCTGTGAGCCCAAATGAAAAAAAAAATAAAGAAAAAAAAAAAGAAAAAAGAAAACCTCCCTAGAAAGTTACTTCAGGTACTTACAGGAAGAGAAACAAATGTAGCTGCCTAAGTGGGTGTAGACAAGGGAAAATGACTCGTTCAGGTTTGATTTAAGCCAAACAAATTGGAAAAAAGAAAACATAGGAATGATGTAGAACATGAATTTTGCTCATGCATGCAAATCCTCGTACTGCAGATAAGTGTAGAAGTTACTGGTAGCTTTACAAAGGAAAAAGGTGTGTAAATAAATGCAATCAAAAATCCTTGAACGTGAAAGGAGGACTTTGGCAGTGGCAAAACACCCAACAAAAAGGAAAAGTAATGTAAAAAATTTCTGTGTAAGGATTTTTTCAATGTAATAAGCAAACCTGTCCTCTTTTAGTTATTGCTGTTTACTATTGCCCAACAGCTTTCCTTTTTGTCACTAGGAAGATGAAAGTGTTGCAATAGGTAATTACAGATTTTATCATAACTTGGAAAGAGTACATTTTATTTCATTATTTATCTTGGTATAGCATCTTACTCTCCCTATTTCTTTGCACACTTCCAATATGCATGGTTTTTAAAGACCGTTTCCTCCCTTCTGTAAATTAAGGCCTCATTTCTCCCCACTGTATAGTTTTTGGGTTTGTTTGGGGTTGGCTGGTCGTTTTTGTTTGGTTTGTTTGGTTTGTTATTTTTATTATTTTTGTTTGTTTTGTTTTGTTTTGTTTTGCTTTGTCAGTTATATACGGTATGAAGTTGCTATGCACAGAGCTTTTGTAAAGATAGCTTTTTTGTTTACTGTTTTTAATGGTCCTACTTATGGAAGAATATCTTGTTTGTAAAATGAATATGTCTACTTCAGTTTTAAACTTTAAATTATCCTAACAAAAAAATAAAATTTTTGTACTGTAAACAAGGGGGGGAATTATCTTAATTTCAGAGTAATCAACGTGCTTTTTTCTTTATCTTTTCTCATCCCCATGAGTCACTCAGGGCACTGTTACAGCAATGACGCCTTAAGAGAATGTGAATTATATGCTGGGTGACAGGCTCCAAATCAAGCCTCCATGCCTGTCTGTAAGATCTCCCCCCCAGCATTTGGGAGAGCGAAAGCTGGGTTATACCAGGCACACCAAGACAGTAATTGTCTCCTCTGGCCTCTTCCTTATTACAGCTAATTTACAAAGCAGGCAGCGCCTTTGTGAGAATTTTGTCCTTTTTGGGGTGGGAAGGAACCAAAATGTAGAGTAGCTCTAATTTCTTTTTCAGAAACCTTCCCTTTCTGCTAGTACTTACAGTTAGTCAAAGCGTGAATCAAAAGCCAAAGCCTGGAGTGACAGAGGGGGTCCTTTCTGGGCCTGCCTGGGGAACTAGATTTGTGTTTGGGGCCTGCCTTGGCCAGGTCTTCACACACACCTCTGAGCCATGATGCTGTGCCGCTGACACCCACAAACTAGAAAAAATAAACCACCATCACCACAACAGCAAAACAAACAACAAAACCATCATGGATCAGTTAGATTGTCATGCTAAACCTATTTTAATATCAATATCTCACCCAGTTCTTCAAAACATGTGAAACGATTTTTCTTGGTCTCCATTAGGACAAATACAGGCTAGAAATCTACCACCTTCTTAACTCTTAATTCAGTAAGCTGAATTCAAGATCAGATTGTTCAGCCTTCCTTTGTAAGACTGCTGCCATGCAAGCAGAAAGAATTTAATGACATTTGCCCTGTTTTCCAAAGACAAATTATTTGGATAGGCTTTTGCTTGTCCAGCATCCTGAAGGACTGCCTGACCTGACATCAGTGGTGCACCAAAACTCATCTATGCTGCCACTGAAAGTACAGCCAGACTTCACCTAGGAGCAGACAACTACAGCCAGGCATGCCCATGTTGCTCAAAAGCCCTCTGGAAAGCCAGATTGGCTCCCACTCTCCTCTTCCTTTACAGGTCTCTTCTAGATGGCTGTTTTGTCAGAACTTGAATTTCACTTTAATAAATGGTGAAACAATAGCCACTCTCTCAACCACTTACGCAGGGCAGCTAGGGAATTGCCAGACCAGTTAAAATATTTATCTCAGTGACAACACACAGCTGTTGAGGTGCAAAGATCTGAAGCTTTAATCGCACCGGGTTATTTAAGTAGGAATGTCTCATTAACTCTGCTTGCAGAACTGGATTAAACAGACAGCTGGTGGCCAGAGGAGAGGGTGCAGACAGAGCAGCCATGACAGAGACAACGTTGAGCAAACATCAGTGTAGATAAGGGGATGCAGGAAACCCAACACTTCCCCCTCCTGAAGTGGAAGGCACCAAAATGCTCTCTTGTGGAGGCAACATAAGGAGGTTGGGGCAGGGAAACCGTATCTGCTGGCCTGCTTCCGTTGTGGTTGTGTGAAGGAATCTCCTGTTTACAACACTAACAGAAAAAGGCACGGGAATGGCAAAACACAAGCATTTCCATTGCCAGTGCCTCTTCCTGTGGTGGCAGGTGGACGGAGCTTGCTATTTGCTTATTAGTCTGTGAGCTTTATGGCACGCCTTCTTGGGGACACATCCCAACTCATTTTTGTCCATGGTCTCAAATTCAATCCCATGTAGCTGACACTACTCAAGTTTGAATAGAAGCTATAAAGTCCATCTCTGTAATGAGAAGGTGTAATCCTGACACCATAAAAATCAGTGGGTTCAAACCTACCATATTTAATCCTGGATCAAGGCTCTAATTAGTGCGATTCTGCTCAGAAATGGGGAGTTCTCTTCCCTGGAAAAACACATATTTTGTTTCAATGAGATCACATCTTCTGTTGTAGTTTAAGTTCAAACGATGTCACAGCAGAACACTTTCCTCTTACTGAGCTGAAACAAATCAAAATATGCACGATTAGATTTCCTTTATCCTCCCATCCATTTATTTTCAATAGAGCTGTTCTTTTTAATAGAAAAACTGACTCAGCCAAAGGCATGCCAGCTGATGCCATGAGTTTGCCTCCTCACTGAAATAACTAAATAAATAAATACCGAAGAAAAGGCAGCTTTAAGGTGAGAAAAAACTACCCAGAAGACTTCAGCTACAACACGTCAACCCCAAAATGGACCGGGGAACGTAACTAATTACTTTCCAAGCATCAGGAAAGAGGTGGTCTTAGCCTCAGCACTGATCCCCCATTTAGCTCCTGGGCTTCATACCAAATACCAGTTTGTAAAGGGGTTTCTACACCCAGTGATTGCTGTTGTATATATGCAGTTCACTGCGTAACTTTGTTATTTTCTAATTGCCAACCTTCCTTAGTACTTGAGGAATAGTGAAAAGGGAGGGGAGAGTGGAGCGGGCGAATAAATAGCTAGCACAAGCCAGAGAGATTGTCTATCGGTAATAATAGCATCTCTCCCTGTTTACAAGCTGAAAACTTGACAAGACATGGGCCGGATCCTCAGCTATCATAAAGCTGAGTGAGTGGAGGTGTACCAATTTATGCCATCTATAGAGCTGGCCATATAATTACTTTCCCCTCTGGCCTGCAAAGCAGAAGCACAGCAACAAAATAAATGAAAAAAAATACAAGCATTGGATTTCTTTTATGTTCCTGTTCATCCTAGCACAGCACCCAAAAGTGCACACATCACTTTCATTACTTACACTACAGTGGTGTGCGAGGGTTCAAAATCCATCCCCACCATGGAGGGCGACGTATAAACAAGTAATGAAAACGCTTCCTGACACAAAGAAGTTACCATCGATTTTCAGGTTAACACATTCTGCTTGGATTAGGAGCTGGAAAGCACAGGAGGTGGGACAAGAGAAAGGAATGGCAGCAGTAACTGAAACATCTCCTTCCATATGTTATATACCCCATGTAAGGATGCTTCCTATTTGCATTAAGGTTCTTTACAGCTCCTTGTCAGAGTAAAGGAGCCTCTACACTTATTGTCACATTCCAAAATACTGGTGACTTTAAATATCAGCTGTGTTGCCAGTTCTCATGCTTACAGTTTTTTCCAATGTTGAAGGTGTTTCTGAAACGTCTAACTTCCAGAGGCAGAGGAACTTGAGCTCCTTACGTAACTCTCTGGCCTGTTAATTTACAGGGGATGATCCTGAAAAAACACAATTCAGCTTTTCAGAAAGGCACCCACGAGTAAAAATAAAAATAACCACAATTGTAAAGTCATGATTTTCTAGGACATCACTCCTAATTTCTAGGACTAATAGAGCCTACAGTACAAAGAAATATTTCCAGTAGCAAGTAGGCTTTTGAGAATGCTTCAAATCCATTCTGAGAACGCCACTAATCTTGATGAGAAATTCAAGCACCCCTACTTTTCTCAGGAATGTTTGGTTTAAGTGGCTGCAGCAATGCACCGCAACAGACTGCCGGTGCTGCAGGACTTGGATGTAGAAGGAGTTATCTCAACACTTCACTGAGATCGTAGGAACTTGATTGAAATTTACCAGCAGGGTCCCTATGACACTGCAATTGCTGTAGTCATTTCTTTGTCTTTAAAATGCCATATAATTGCTAATGTAATTAGTGATGTATACAGAGGGGGCCTGTGCAATTACCAAGTCCTAAGATCAAGTAATTAATGTTCTGTCAACAAAACTGCAACTGTTTCATTAACAACTGTCTGGATTTGAAAACAGATCAACTCAGAACGTTACCCACTTGGCTGAGTTTTGCAATAGCAGCGAATTCAAACCCAAAACCAGCCCAGATCAGCTGGGATTGCGGCGTCCTCCCCCTAGCACTGCCACTCATTTCTCCTCCCAATAAGAGTCCTTCACACTGCCCACAGAGATAGGCAGGCTTTGTAGTCAGCTTCCATGCTGCCAATTGATGTTTCCAGTTTTATGAATTCTCTCTCAAGAATTAAAAACTTGAAAAGGGTTTCAAGGACCTGTAAAAATTTATTAAACATTGTGGGATTTATTTTATTTTATTTTTGGTAATGCTTCCAATTTTGCAGTGCTTTGAATTTGCTTCACATTTCCAAATGTTTCTCTACCACCATGAACACATCTCCTAAAGTAAAGGCAGGAGCTGGGTGTCACCTTGACTTGATGTGTCATTCTCCTTCCTTCACATAGTTGGTGTGCTCTGCAGAGAGGAAACAAAGATGTGCCTTGTCTTTCCTTACAGCTACTTTCCTTTTGACACGTCCCATCCCCTCAAGTGTTAACCAAAGCACTTTTGTGTCTCTCACCTCCTGATTTCACTGCTCATTTTCACTGGTGAAACCCAAACATTTAAAGACTAGCAGGAACCGTACTCATCCATGACTCAGGCCTGTGCAGTGCAATCTTGAGCACCATCTACTGGTCCTTTATCTCCCAGTTTGTTGCTTAGAGAGGGATTAAAGGTCCTCTTCTCCCAGAACACAACACGGACTCAACATCCTCATGCACCAAGGTGCGCTTCAAGCTTAAAATATGGGCACAGCCCCTGCAGCTTACATACACCACTCGCTGAGCAATGGGCTTTAACACCAGCACTGCCTTCAACCCTCAGATGAGTTCTGCACTTCACAGCCTCCTAATTCACCAGATGATGAAGTTTCCATCAGTACTGTACCTGGGAACCAGCTTTCAAACCAGGCCTGCTCTCCCTGAATGCTTTCTCCCGGCACAGCGTACGGTTAACAAGCTAAGTGGTACACAATAGCTGTGGTGGTAGAATGGAATTAAGCAGCAGAAGCAAGAGGGATCAGCGAGGATTTCCGGTGAGATTTGAAACACAAACAAGCATGAGGAACTCTAAAAGTACACAGTTTTTCCTCCCGCTCTGCGCGTGTCATTTTATTACAGGGTAATTAAAGAACACTTTAAAATTGTGATTAATAGGCTTTTCAGCTTCAGAGAAATCAAATCTTTGATGTCAGTTGCTTAAACATTCAGTTTACTTTGCCATTGAGGAATGCAAATAAATAAGGAATGGCAAGAGAAGGTGTTTTTTTTTTTTTCTTCTTTTCATTTTACTATTAGAAAGTTTTCCTTCCTTTCTTCCTTCTTTCCTTCTCTCCTTCTTTCCTTCCTTCCCTCCTTCCTCCAATGAACCCATCTGGGATCTGTACACGAGTGGGGGATGATTTGGTGGCTGGGCTGGTTTCATCTGCCTCTATTCTCCGTCTGCTGCAGTCTGTGGTTTGAATCACAGAGTAGGAAGTCAGCAGCATTAGTACACAATTCCTGCCCTACCCATGTCATCCTTTATCTGCAGGCTTGCCAAGATCCCCTGAATTAAAAGAGAAGAAGAATTTCAGTCTTGAGGGGTCTTGTCTGTAGATCAATGCAGACCACCAAGATGTTAGCCTCTGTACATTGCCAAACCCAAGAACTTTGCCTTGTAGACTTGTCTTGCCCTGTTCAGTGGGAGATGCAGGCATCTGCTCGTACATGCTGCTGGACAGGAGGGCACAGGGTCTTCAGAAAAAAGGCTGCAATTAGGAGGAGCCACCTTTTCAGAGATATGCTATTCCCTTTCATCCCAGTGGCTTGGCCACGAGGCTGAGATTAACCTGAAAACACGGCACGGCTTCAACAAGCCAACATTCACTGGGCTCAGGGCAGACCTCGGTTAGAGGACAGAAAGGGGCAGTACGCACTGAGACCGAGGGATGCAACACAACCAGGAGTGGAGGCAAAGGGCCACAGGCTCATCTCACATATGCCAACTCCCCAGCACCTCAAAAACTCCAACATGCTGACCTGCACGAGAGCAGAGCTGCACATGGCTCAAACCGCAGCTGATACTCACACCCAGCTGGTGTACAAGGCACTGAACAACTAAATTGTAGCCCTCTGCCAAGCTTTGCAGTGGCTGCCTCCGTGCCATCTGACCATACAGTTTTAAGGTTACTTTACCTAGAAAGCACCAATCCAGCAGCAGCATTTCTAATTTTCTCTTAATTTTAGTTTTCAAAGGAAGTGAAGGAAGCAAAAGCAGAGGGTGCAGATCCTGAGCCAACACCAGGTGGCTTTGCACCGTTCCCTGGGGATATTCAACTTCCCTGGACATCACTGAGGGACCGAGCTGCTTGCTCCCTTTCTCTGTAGCAACACCAGCACATCTCAGATGCACGAAGCTTAGTTTGCTGCTTAGTTTGAGCCACTGATTAAGCAATGCCCCTCTAGGGTGGTTATTTTTAACTGTGTCTGAATTTACACACGACAGACCTGAGGAAGAAATCAGTTCTCATGTCCCGTATTTGCCCTTTCGTTTAAGATCTGGGCTCCACAACCACACAGCACAATCCCTGGCAGCCTGTATCCCACACCTTTTGTCCAAACGATTCTGGAGGTGCCCACTCCTGTAACAGTATTTGCAGCCCACTGGCAGCCTATATGGACAATATTTTTTCTTAAAGAGTAATTGTTACCTTTTCTTTTCTCCCTTTCTCCACTTAGCCTTTCCCTTTACATCCATAACTATGGCTCTGTCTGATGAACATGCCTGACCAGAGATCGCTGACATGCCAACACCTGAATGCCTTTGAGGATCTTGCCCCTAAGCGATTTGCCCAAAGCCCATTAGGAGTTCTGGGGGACAAGCAGAGACATAAACCTATGCTTTAGAAGTGACAAAGGTACTTAATGAAAGAAATAAAATTAAAAAGGCAGGTCTCCAGGTTTGATCTGAATGTCTGAATCCATTACACACACACACAAGCATCACTCTCTTTAAATATTTTTGAAGCATTACTGGCAGTGATTTTCTTCCTAGTGCTGTTTACGAATCCTGCCTGACACACCCCCTTCCTCCCAAATATTTGTAACCTGTCACACCTATATGCAGATTAAAATTAGGGATGCTTTTCATTCAATCGTTCTTAGAAGAAAAAGGGCGGGGGGAGGACTGGGGGAAAAAAGAGAGCCAGGTTTAATACTCTACAGTAGCACAAACCTCTTGGGCATAAAACATCGTTCAGGTAGACACATCTGGTGAAATGCATCACATCAAATTAGTATCAAGGGTATTGAGATTCTAAGACGACTGGCAGACAATTCCCCTTCTAATGTACTGCTTTTTAGATTGTTGAAGAAACTTGAATCCCAAATCTCCTGTGAAATGAGTGATACTAAACATGCCTGCTCAAATACTGAAAGTGAAGATCAAAGACGCAGTGTCCAAATTGGCTTTGCAAACAAAGCAAGCCCAGAGATCCCCAAGAGAACGTGGTGCTAATTTTATCAGATCTCCTTGACTTCTTCCTCCCAACAGTTTGTCATTTAAGAAAAATAATAATAATGAGAATGCATTTCTCTTTATCTGTCCGAAGCCCTGTTGTAAGACAAACAAATTCATTCCCTTTTAAATACATGCTCTGCAAGTCTCCTAATAATCTTAATCTGGTTTAAATGAAAAAAAAAGAGCGTTTCACCCCCTGAAAGATACCTACATTGAGGCCCCAACCACACAGACACAAACACGCACACACGGCCATGAATATTTCAATACAGCTCGGCCTTTCAGATCAATACAGGCAACTCTCAAGTTCTATTGATTTTTCAGAGGTTTGGCTCACAAGGGTGATAAAATATTTCTCAAGTTATGAAACCTGAGTTAAGGAGCTTTTGCTGACACTTCAGCATTTACTAGACACATCTCTCTCCCTCCATCTCGATTTATGACTAAGCAATAAGTCTTGGCAAGGCGGGCAATATCATCCCATAGGGCCCACTTAAGGTCAAAAAGAGAAGTCAGGATAATAGGACAGCCCTTAAGGTCCCTAAACTTCTGTTTTCTGAGGTAATCACTTCTTCTTTTCCACATGCCCTCAAAGTCCTTATTCCAACATTCATTAGGCAGTGAAATTCCCTTTCAGTGCACCTCTGTAAGCTGTCAAAAAGAAAGGGACACTAAAGCAGACACCAAATAAAGCAACTCCCTGCTGAGGCAAGGAAGCTAATCGTCTCCATATGGAAAGGAAATATACTTAATTATGTATTTATGCATGTCATTGCAGGCTTATATCTTGTTTCACTTTCATCCACAATGATCCAAACCTATTTAAATATAATGAGTAAACATTTCTGTTTTTACAATAACATAAGCAAATGGTTTCGCAGCGTTTCCCAACCATTTCCTCGCAGAACAAGGCAATTCAGTGTAGTTATTATTATTTGTACTGAAGCAGCACCTAGGGAAGCCAGTCCTGGACCATGACTCCATTGTGCTGAGGTGTTTATAAGCATGAAAAACAGAAGGCAATCGCTGGCCCCAAAGAGTTTACAATCAAACTGAAAAGCATCTTCAGTTAAAAGGTGGAATCTGTGGATTCCAGTTCCAATATTCCAGTTATTCCCTTACAAAGTGGGTACCTTTACACAATAATTACAGGTTGGACCTGGTGGATAGCATATGGGCTAACATACAGGCAGTTTGAGGACCAAGGCTCTGTACTGACCCCTGCCAAGAGAGCTGTTGCATACAACAGGCTGATAATGCTCCCTGCTCACATACCTCAGTTTCCCTTTCTCCTCTTACAGCTGTCCCTTCTGCTTACAGTGCAGATTCCTGGGTGTAGGGCTTGGCTATACCAGCTCCAGGCAAAGGGCTGATCTCAAGGAGAGGGGAATATACACAAGCCATAAATCTTACATTAGAGTCTACCCAGGCAACATTAACCTAGTTAAAAGATAATAAACACATTTCAAGTATTAGAACTCTGCTGCTGAAATCAAAAGCACCACCTATTGCTGGAGGTGTCTGAGGACAGGCTGATTAGCGGTGGACGCAAAGATCAGTTTGCATGCACACATGCAGAGATGAGAGCCAAGGCTTAATTCACTTCCCCCCTTTGTTCTGATCCTTGTTAATAGTTCTACACCTATCATGACACCTATCACTGAAGCATCACAAGGCATTTTTGTAAAAAGATGAGTACTTATCATTCCTTGTGAACTGATAGCAGCAGAAGGAATAAAAACGAGGTTAACTGACTTGACCCACGTAAGTGATCCAGTCCATAGCAGCTCTATTGATTCCCCATTGCCTTCTCCAGCTTTCCCTCCATTTTGCATTAGCGCCTTTGTTTGCAGGAATTAGGATTCATCTGTCATCACTTGAAATTTAAAGACCTTTCTCTTGGAACAACCTCATTAAGCAGGACAAGTCCTACAGACTCTCATTACACACCAGTGCCACCTCCTTTGGAGGACACATATCAGTGTTTACCGCGTACAATAGGCAGGGCGTTGCACGAAATGCTCTCATTACCTTCAAATGGGCAATCTGAAATCGCAGAGTTGCACGTTAAGAGATATTAGCAGGATGGTAATTACTGGCTAGTAGACACAGAAGCCATATTACTTCGTCCATGACCCATTTTGCAGCAGTTGAAAATCTTTGTGGACCAGGACATTGCTGTGATGTGGGGCTGAGAGCAAAGGACCAGATGCTGGTCCTGGCCCTCCAGCAGCAGCAGCACGCCCGTTGAGACCCAACCCTCAAGGCTCAGCTCCACCTTTCTTACTACTTACCCTGCTTCAGGACCCGTAGGAATTCTGAATACTTCCATCAACCACAGAAGGCCTCTGGTCTCTGTTTCCTTGGATGAAACAATTTCAGCTGCACACGATTGTCCTCTGCCACGAATACCAGGAGAAGCCAAGGCAGCAGCTCTCTGACATGTGTCTGACCTCTCCCCTAGAGCAAATACACCGCTCCCTGTGAGGACACAAGCATATCTTCAAAGCCTCACTGAACAAATAAAACAATGCAATGATCAGCCATTTATTTATTTTTTAAAAATCCTTCCTATTGTTGCTTTACACTCTGCTGCTTTTTTCTTTTTTCTTTTCTTTTCTTTTTTTTTTTTTTTTTTTTTTTTTCCAGCTGCAGCAATATGATGGCATGATGGCTTGAAGGACTTTTCTACCACAGCCCCTAAATCCCCTCCCTGATCAGTATGCTGCATGGCTCCTCCATTTAATATGTATTCTCACTTTTGGTGCATTGCCCCCAAGACTTAGCATTTTATATTTTTCTGCATTAAAACTGCATTCTCCATTTACCGGCCTCAGAGTCAAGCCCTTCTAATGGGGGTAGCAGTACTCCTTGCTCAGTACATCCTCTGCTTTTGGAAAAAATAAGCTGAAATGTATACAGTTCTCGTACATACACAAGATAATAATGGGAAGAGAAATTCTCAAGAACACCTACATAACTTCAAATCTCAAGAACACCTACATAACTTCAAATCTTAAAGCATTTAATTGCCTTTGAAATATCATGCCTGTTAAGCCTTAATTCAAAAGTACTGAGAAAATAGTTATTATGGTACATCATACTTAAGGGGAAAAAATAAAAAAATTGAGATAATTATTTATCCTAAGACACGGTTTAGTAACTTAACTCCTGGCCTCATCCCTGAAATTATCAGTAAATCTTTTCTGAAATATAAAATAAGTAAATTAATTAATCTTGTTCAAGATACTAAGTTGCTCTTTGGTAGTTCAGGAGTATAATAATATCTCTACTTCTTTGTTTAAAACAAGTTTTATTATTTTTTTATTTGGTAGCATCAAGAAGCCTTGAGGACTTTGAGACCAGGGACACACTGTGCTAGCCACCATCCACCATGTGGCAGGAGTCTGTCCCATCCACCTGTTTGTGATGGAGAAGGTTTGAGGGGGAACAAGAGTGCAAAGGAAAGACCTGGCCAGATTCACAGGCTCAGTGGCCAAGGCCAGGTGGAAGCCACAAGAGCCATTCTCAGAGCTGTACCCTGCAATTAAAAAAGGCAACACAAGGAACAGCAGCATTTTACTTTGATTCACGTAAACAGGATCTGTGTACATAGGCAAAGACCTGCTGATAGCTATACTCCCCTGGTCTATGCATTGCCTCCAGAAATGATCTGAATTTCATTTAGATATAGCAGTGCACCTAGGAAAGTTCATCTGGAAGACCCTTCCCTGCGGTCCCAGAGAGCCTGGCATGCAAGTCCAGTTCTTCCAAGCTACATTTCTCTGCCTGCTGTGATGGTCTTCGGGACTTTCAGGCAGTAGGAGGCAAAAAGAAACCCACTTCATTTCACTTCTTCAAGCAAACATGTCTTTTCCTGGCTAAAAGGATTCATTATTCCCTCCATTTAAGCACATTTCAAATGGATTCAGCAGCCCAGCTCAGTGCAGGTAAGAGGAGCTCTGCAGCAGCATCCCAGCTTGCCACTTCAGATACATAACGCAGACACGTGCCGCCCAATCCAGACCCTCTGCCTCCCATGGCAGCAATACCTTTGAAGAATTCCAAGTTAGTTAAAGCCTACCTCAAAAGCCCATGTTGGCCATCTCTAATCAAATTACACTTTCCAAGCTGTTCACTTACAAAACCTCCTGAAATGGTTTCTAATATTTTTCCCACAACTGGTGTTAAACCGTAATTGCTTGCTGTATCTTTTTGCCCCTCTTGAATAATGGGTGTTAGATTTGCCACTTTATAGTCCTCAGGAATGTGACCTGTCATTATAAAGCTTCTAAAAATATCAGTTAACACTTCACAATTTTCTCTCCTTTATTTCCTTTAACAGCCATGGATGTACCCTCCCTGGACCAGATACCTGATCTGCCTTTGAGCGTAAAACCTTTCAGCAATAATTTTTGCAGTCATTTGCACACTAACACCTTTAATGTGCCTGGGAATAGAAAGTCAGGTCTTTAACTGATGTAAACTGGCATCACTCCACTGATTTAAGCAGTTACCTCAGTTTACACCAGTTGAGGAGTTTGGTAACAATTTCTATACATTTACATCATTTAAAAGCCCAAACAAATTTCTCATTATTTAAAAGAAAAGACTGATGCAATTAACTGGAATACTTCATAGAAGACCAGATCATACAGTACAAATAGTTGTTACCAAACAACAGATTTCCACTCTAACTTGAGAACGCCTTTCAGGATATCTCTGAGTTGAGTTCTAGCTGTAACGACCATTACAGCTAATTATCTCCCTGAACTGGGCCCTCACTTCATACGCTCAGGGTCTCATCTTCTAACGGGCCAAGCAAACCCATTTCCACCGGCAGCTACAGGGGAGCAGGGTGTGCACAAGTAAGCTTTTCACCAGCAGCAGCTGAGGAATCTGTACAGGTCTGTACAGATATTCAGCAGCGTCTGGCTCTCTGCTTCCCATCTCTAAATCCTTGAAGCACAACGTTGTTTATAGGGCTATAACACATATAACCCTGTTGCTCTAGCCAGCAGTCTCTTTGTAGACTTACCCTCTGACACCCCAAGCCACACTGTCCGACTACAATATTTAGAAGCACATTTCTTGACCAAGGATTGCCCAAGCTCTTTTAAAAAAAGGATGGCAGGCATAAGCAATCCTAGACTTACATTCCTCCTTCCTAGCATAGCCCCCAAGTGGTGCTAGCGCAGCCTCATCTCTTAGTTTAAGCACAGGAATCATACCAACACTCTCGTACAATAAGCCCAAATCTCAAGAGGAAGGGAGGAAGGAGCGAGAGAGTCGGCTATATTCAGCATTGTTGCTAAAACTCCACAGTAGGTTGACCCCATGGCCTTTTCCAACAATCTTTAATACCCAGTGTTACATGATTCCTAACGGCACTTTTTTGGCGCTGGACAGGGCAGAGGTCAAGGTCTGGAATGTCACCAGGGCTGCTACTTACTGAGTAAAGACAATTAGACGATTGTCTAGACAACTGAGCTTTGTGCTGTGTGTGATAAGCATGCAATCAACTCTCTGAGGTGATATAAACAAGCTGCCTCGGCGCTGCATTTTCCTTCTCAGCCTCCTCCTTCCTTTTCTGGGGATCTCTTGTATTCTTCCTCTGTATGTGCCGGTCTCTGCAGCTCTCCTCTGCATCTGGAGGCTCTGGTGGTAGAAACAAGCCAGCTGAGGATATTACAGTTGCAGAACAGAGAAAACACTTCAGCCACTGAGACAAAGGGCTAGCTACTGTAATTCTCTAAGCTTAGGGTTTGGTGATTTTATAGATATTATGTATACCATAACATTATTTATTCAAAATAATCAGTAACAGGATAAATTAAGAATTCCTTACCCTAAACTAAAGCCACTCTTGGGCAGACACACGTCTAAGAACTGCGGATTCAGCCACTTAAGAGAAAGGAATTGAAACTGCATTCCTGCAGTTCAGAAAAGTACATTAGAGCACTGAGTTATTACATTTTAAAAAATAACAAACCAAACAAAAACGTACAGCCAAGCCATTGTCCTCTAACATCTCCAGAAAAAATGTTGGTCAAATATGTTTAAGGTGACCGAAACTCCATGTATGACTTGTTGGAGGTAATGAAAAAAGTGCCCGTTTCTGGCCAAACATTCATGTAAAAGATAAATAAGTTTCTGAAAGCATCTTTAAAACAGAAATAAAGAAAGGTGAATGGATAATTTATCCATGGCCCCATGCTGTAAAAATTTGTGCCTGGCCTTCTGATGCCACACAGTCATGTTGCATTCAGATTTAAAGGTAAATTTTATTTTTAAATGATTTTGATTGCCAAAATATATCTGGGGTTAGTTTTTGAAATGCTTCTAATGTTACCATGGTTTATTTTACTGCAAAACATTGATATATTTTACTGCAAAACACTGACAATGACACCTTACAGTCCTGTAACACCTCTGTTTCAATGATCCTAAACTATTTTTTTGTGGCCCTAGTTCACCAACCAATGTAATCACAGAATTAAAACCCCATTGACTCCAGTGGAATGTGCTCAAGTGCTTTGCTGAACTGGGGACTAAACTATTAAAATTTACATGCCTTTAAGGCAGAAATTATCTACCCTGTTTCACAGATGAGAGGAAAATGAGGCTTGCAGAGAAACTCACTTAGACTTACACACTGTGATTCCGGATAGGCCCAGCTCAAACAGAGGGATGCATGAGAAACCCAAACCCACAGGCCAGAGGCAGACCCTGATTTCAAGAGTTTTATATTTTCATCCCTGTGCCACAGAAACCAGACTTGCAGGCATGAGAAGAAACCAAAGCATATGAGAAAGATAAAGCCATCAGCACTGGATACACGTAGTCTTGGAAAATTATCCTAATTGTTCTCTTCCTTCAAAATGGGCACCCAGTTCTAGTTTTAGACCTAGCGAAGTGTCACAGACTCAATGTGTAAAACCCAAATCTTGCCTCTGCGTTCACAAAGGGATTTATGGAAATACGAGCCATTTCAGGCTCTGCTAGGGCCTGCAGGAAGCCCCCTGTGGATGTCTGTCTTACCCAGAGCTCTTTTATAGGACCTTCTCAAGCCAAACTTGCAACACACGATGTCCTGGGAATCCTTCCCCCCGCTTTCTAAATGGGACTTCTAAATGGAGGAAATGTGTCTCCGGAGAATCCTTCTTGGGTTTTACACCAGACCCCACCCCCGTGTAAAGGGAGCATGTTTCAGCCCCATGCTGTGCAGATACATCAATAAAGCTCACAGTTCTCTCCCTCACTATCCATTCTCACCACCTTCATTTAAAGAGCTCCCAATAACTCGGGACATAACATCCAACTTCACACAGAGTGAACATTAAGCGAGGATAAATTCCCTCTTATATCATCCAAAGGCTGACTACTTACCACTTCACAGAACATGCAGGATGTGTTTTATTTACCTTTCTCCAATAAGGCACCTGGGTTTTTGTTTTGTTTGTTTTCCTTTGTTTTTATGTGTCTTTTTTTTTTTTTCTTAACCAACCTTTGTCAGATGAGTTCATCTGAAAATTGCTTGTAAAGCCCTGAGCA